CCATTCTTCCCCCCTTCCTGTCTATCTCCTTCACCACCATGTGTCTGTCCTTCCCTTCCCCCCCTTCCTTTCCATCTGTCCCATTATTTCCCTTCTCCATTCCATCTCCTTTCCCTTCTTTCCACCATGTAGTCTGTCTCCTTCCTCTGTTTCCCTTCTTCCTTCCTTCCTTCCCTTCACCTCCCTGTCCTTCCCATTATTTCCTTCCTCCACCATGTTTCCCATTCCCCCTTCCCTCCCTTGTCCTTCATTCTTCCACTTATGTCTATCCTTATTTCATTCCCCTACCAATGTTTCCTTCTTCCTTCTTGTCCTCCATTTCCCCATTCCATTCCCCTTCCACCATGTCCATTTCCTTCCATGTAACCTCCATTTCTTCCCCCTCCATATAAGTCTATCCTCCACGTTTCCTTCCTTTCCTCCCTCTGTCTCCTTGTTTCCCATTATTTCCATGCCGTCTGTCCATTATTTCCTTCCCTGTGTCTGTCCTTCCATTATTTCCTTCCTCCATGTAGTCCTTCATTATTTCCCCTTCCTCTGTGTTATCTGTCTCCATGTTCCACATTCTTCCCCTTCCACTCTTTGTGTCTGTCTCCTTCCTGTGTGGTCTCCACATTATTTCCTTCCTGTGTGTGGTCCTGTCTCATTGTTCCTTCCACGTGTGGTCTGTCTCTGTGGGTGTTTCCTTGTGTGGTCTCATTCCTGTGGCCCTGTGTGGTCCTTCCTGTGGTCTGTCTCCTTGTGGTTTGTGTTCCATTTCTTCCTGTGTGGTCCTTGTCCTCCTTGGGCTCCACATTCTTCCTTCCTGTGTCTGTCTCCTTCCTTGTGCTTCCACCTTGTGCTGGTCCTGTCTCTGTGGCCTCCTTCTTGGTCTGTGTCCTTGGGGCCCTGTTATTTCCTGGCCTTGTGTGGTCTGTCTCACGGCCTGGGTTCCACCTGTGTGGTCTGTCTGTGTGTGGCCACTCCTGTGTGTCTGTCTCATTCTTCCTCCTGTGTGTGGTCTGTCTCACAGCCCTGGGGTTATTTCCTGTGATCTGTCTCCTTGGATCGTTGTTCCTGTGTGCTGGTCTGTCTGTTGTTCCTTCCTCCATACTGTGTGGTCTGTCTGTGTGTCTCCATGTGTGTCTGTCTTCCTGTGTCTGTCTCATTCTTCCACTGTGTCTTCCTTGTCTGTCTGTCTGTCTTGTGTTGTCTGGGTTCCACTGTGTGGGTGTGTGTGTGGTCTGTCTGTGGTCGTTCCATGTGTGGTCCTGTCATGTGTTCCTGTGTGGGTCTGTCCTCGGTGTTCCTGTGTGTGTGGTCCATCTCCGGGTGTTCCTGTGTGGTCTGTCTCCTGGTTATTTCCTGTGTGTCTCTGTGGGTGTGTGTGGTTGTGGGTCCTTCCTGTCCACTGTGTGTCTCACAGCCTCCGGTGTGGTCTGTCTCCTTCACGTTGTTTCATTTCTTGTCTTGTCCTTCACATTCATTTCCATTTTGTGTGTGTGGTCTGTCTCCATTTCCATTGTTCCCTCCACCACTGTGTAGTCCTTTGTTATTTCCTTCTTCCTCCACCTGTGTAGTCTGTCTCACGGCCTACATTTCCTGTGTGGTCTGTGTCTGGTTCGTTTCCTGGTCTGTCCATTTCAGACATTGTTTCCTTCTTTCCTGTGTAGTCCTGTCTCCATTTCATTATTTCCCCTTCTTTTCCTCCCTGTGTGTCTCCCTTCTTTATTATTTCCCTTCCACATGTCTGTCTCCCTTCCGTTCCATTATTTCCCTTCCCTCCACCTGTGTGGTCTGTCTCCTTCTGTTATTTCCCTTCCTTCCACCTGTGAGTCTGTCTCACAGCCCCTGAACCACATTATTTCCCCTACAGCCTAGCCCTCCCTGCAATGTAGTCTGTCTCACAGCCCCTGAACCACATTATTTCCCCTACAGCCTAGCCCTCCCTGCAATGTAGTCTGTCTCACAGCCCCTGAACCACATTATTTCCCCCACAGCTAGCCTCCCTGCAATGTAGTCTGTCTCACAGCCCCTGAACCATTATTTCTCCACAGCCTAGCCCTCTGCAATGTAGTCTGTCTCACAGCCCCTGAACCCATTATTTCCCCACAGCTCCCTCTCCTGCAATGTAGTCTGTCTCACAGCCCCTGAACCACATTATTTCCCTACAGCCTAGCCCTGTCTCACAGCCCCTGAACCACATTATTTCCCCCACAGCCTAGCCCTCCCTGCAATGTAGTCTGTCTCACAGCCCCTGAACCACATTATTTCCCCCACAGCCTAGCCCTCCCTGCAATGTAGTCTGTCTCACAGCCCCTGAACCACATTATTTCCCCTACAGCCTAACCCTCCCTGCAATGTAGTCTGTCTCACAGCCCCTGAACCACATTATTTCCCCTACAGCCTAGCCCTCCCTGCAATGTAGTCTGTCTCACAGCCCCTGAACCACATTATTTCCCCTACAGCCTAGCCCTCCCTGCAATGTAGTCTGTCTCACAGCCCCACATAATTCCCCTACAACCACATTATTTCCCCCCTACAGCCTAGCAATGTAGTCTGTCTCCTGAACCATTATGTAACCCTCCCTGCAATGTAGTCTGTCTCACAGCCCCTGAACCACATTATTTCCCCTACAGCCTAACCCTCCCTGCAATGTAGTCTGTCTCACAGCCCCTGAACCACATTATTTCCCCTACAGCCTAGCCCTCCCTGCAATGTAGTCTGTCTCACAGCCCCTGAACCACATTATTTCCCCTACAGCCTAGCCCTCCCTGCAATGTAGTCTGTCTCACAGCCCCTGAACCACATTATTTCCCCTACAGCCTAGCCCTCCCTGCAATGTAGTCTGTCTCACAGCCCCTGAACCACATTATTTCCCCTACAGCCTAGCCCCCCCTGCAATGTAGTCTGTCTCACAGCCCCTGAACCACATTATTTCCCCTACAGCCTAGCCCCTCCTGCAATGTAGTCTGTGCAATGTAGTCTGTCTCACAGCCCCTGAACCACATTATTTCTACAGCCTAACCCTGTCACAGCCCCTGAACCACATTATTTCCCCTAGCCCTCCCTGCCACTGAACCACATTATTTCCCCTACAGCCTAACCCTCCCTGCAATGTAGTCTGTCTCACAGCCCCTGAACCACATTATTTCCCCTACAGCCTAACCCTCCCTGCAATGTAGTCTGTCTCACAGCCCCTGAACCACATTATTTCCCCTACAGCCTAGCCCTCCCTGTAATGCTAAAGCCCTAAATGAACCAGACCTAGATTCCCTCAGGTTCTGAATCTGCCATCTTACTGGGGTTCCTTTTCAATTTAAATGGTTTATTTGTTACTATCAATATTGCTATAAAGGGACTAAGCGTCAATCTAAATCCTTGTTAAAACTTCACATTTACTGAGAAAGTGTAATCACGAACACGTTACATGTTATGCATCCTTTTGAAATATCAGTTACAATTACATATGTATAATTTACTTGACTAACATGACACGTGTCCTCACCGTTACGATTTTTTGCTTTGATACAAGTTAATATATAGGTTAGGTCTACTATGGGTTGCGCCCCTTGCTTCCTCGACGTTCACTCTGTACCGCTAACATGGCTCACCCTCCAGTGCACTCGCGGGTGGGAGGAGAGGTGATTCGTCTTTACTGAGTTAAAGTAAGTGAGTGAGTTTAGTTTTACGCCGCATCCAGTGACCAACATCATAAGCATCGACCTGCGCACTTGGGATACGATGATGTCAAGTCGGCGAGCCTGACCACCCGATCCCGTTAATCGCTTTTTACGACATCAAAGTCAAAGTCAAAGGTGTTTTATTGTATCAAATGCCATCAGCCGATATACAAGTTTACATAAACACACTGGTTGACAATATACCGATTAGTAGATACAGTGGAAATGATAACAAATATAACATTCATTTAACAATAGGTGGTAATCAGGAGGACCTTTTAGAGTAAGGTAAATCTGAAATCCCATTCAACAAGTTATTTCTGAGGTCCATTCCATGTTTTACAAGTAAAGCTAATTTAAATATTACATCGGCATCATTCAATGACAAAATAGAAACAAACCCTATTCTACTCATCTTAGATGAGAAACGTTATGGTATATATCTAGTTCGTATTTCTGCATAATAAGGACATTCAAAGGTAAAATGTATTTCGTCATGGACATTATGGACAAATTCTTTGTATTCCTTCAAGTGGTATATTCCGTCCATAATTAATCATTAGTTTTGACAAGCCAAGTCTGCATTTAATATATTTATTTCAGATCTGATGTTACTATTTGTTCAAACTAATAAATATTTTTCTGGCTCTAATAACGTCTTAAGCATTTTGTACAGATCACAACGTGAACTGTTTTCTAAGTTGGATCGCCCTCCCTGATAGAACATATTTATTGCTACTTTGCAAAAATCATCTAGAAATAGATTTAGATAGCCAACAGATTGATTAAACCATACAAACCCATATCCATGTGAGAATAATAGTGTGCTTATATGCGATACCAATGTAACCTTACCGATACTATCTAGATGAAAGAGTATGTTATAAGCTATTTTCGGAAGCAGATGTTCTGGACTATGGATGATATTAAACGAATACTTTAAACACTTTATTTGCGAATTAATGTAAAGTAGGTATCTTCCACATTCGCCATATATCATATTATTTGGAAACAAACAAACATTTTGCATGCCATTAGATGAATTCTTTCTAAACATTCAAATCTTTGGTAACCCCACACTTGGGATCCATACAATAGAATTGGGTGTATTTAGGTATCAAATGATTTGAAAAATACATTAGGTGTAATAAGTTTATGCGACCAAGTGTATGCGAAACCGACATCATATTAAGTAAAGCTCGTTTCCCGCGCAGTGATAAGTCAGAAACACATTTGTCCATATTTAGAGTTGAATAAAACATTATACCAATATACTTATAACCATTAACTACATTAATTCGTTGTCCATTTAAGTACCATCTTTCCTTAAAATTTAAGGGGCCCCCCATCCTGAAGATTATAATATCTGTAATCTAACCTGGATCTTCACCGTTTAACAACACTGATCTTCTATAGGACAGTTTCCACTAACCAGTCAGAAATGACACACAAGCTTTTGGGAGAGGCGTCATGATATATGTTAGTAAATGTGCCTTCAAAAGGGTGGTAGATCTAGAAAATATTCATTACAACACTATAACATTTCGACATTATAATGCTATTTCTTCCACAAAAACCTTTAATATTCTGTGTTGTATACAGACCCGAGCATACACTTATACATTTTGAGAACGTTTAGAGAACGTGTAGAAACAGCTCAAAATACATCAGGTAAGAGTATGATATAAATGAAACGTTGATGTCTTGTAAAAAACATACATTCACTCGGACCTAATAAAGTTACGTAAAAAATTCATCGTTCTTCTAAAAGTTATTTATTTCTTTGGTATGCCATGACTAATTGCAGACATATTAAAGTCTTCATCTTAGGGCAGTATCTTCTGGAACATTTCGAAACTAGTACGACCCCTGCCGCCATTGCATCTTGCACGAATCAAAACTTATTTCGCCAAGAGTAGTCCTGCGACAACTATAAAGTCATTTGCATATTTTCTGTCCAAAACATATAACAGGAAGTGGCATGAAAGGTGTATGGCACGTTTTAAGGATGCAACAAATATTTTGTTAAATTACTGTTACTTTGTATCCAAATGAACAGAAGTTTCGGATGTTTTGGTTAAAAACATGATTTGTTACTAATGGTAATGGAATTCTTAAATAATCTTTAATATTAAAACTATTTAGATCCGTCACTTGTCTTAAAGACACTATGTCACACCATAGGCGGATCCAGGGTGTGTGTGTGTACAGGGTGCGACACCCAACCACCCCACAGAACAGAAACAGAAATAATGCCTTTTAATCCCAACAATACTAACTATCAGCCCTCAGGGAAGCTACCATATAATTTATTCCAAACAAAATTACGTAGTTAGATAACAATATAAAATTAAAAAGTTTGAATGGATTAATGCCATTCAATTATTTCAAGCGAAGCCCATAGAGTAGTGCCCCTTAGAGTGCTCTTTATGAATATCGTATAGCTTCTGTAGACACAGAAACAAATTCGGCAAACACCGACGACACCACGTGCGACAGTTTTAGATGTACGGAGCAATTGTTTACAATCCATATATGGCAAGTGTTCTCTGTTTGGAAGCTATTCGCCTCGAAGTCTCAATTATCGATTACAGGCAAGTCGTAAGGGATAATAAATCAACAGGAAGCTAAAGTGAGTGCATATGCCCCACTATGTATAATATAGGCCACAATCTTGTCTAAAATGTGTCACATATAGAGTCTTTACAGGGGCACTATATAAATATCCTATAATACAAAAAAGATAATTCAAGGTAACTTTTTCATTTGGGTGCGCCGTTTTGATAGACACACGTCAGATGCCGTGGGAGGTAATCTTAACAGAAAATTTTCACGTCACATCGGCAATATTTCAACCATATCGTGACGACAATTTGCATGTAAGTACTAAATATATTAGGAATAAGAAACCTCTTATCGATCGACAGTAGAATATCTAGATTATCACAGGTATAAGTTAAAACTAGTTGATGACATTTAAAAGAATAAATTAACAAACGACAAAACATTGTAAAAGTCGGCTCTAGATCGCCAGTACCTAAAGATAGATCACCATACTAGGGACCATGGGGACTTTCAGTACATTTGCTACTTGCATGGAGCCTGGCTGGATCTGAACCATGCCTTCAGTCACTTGCCTCAATTACTGAGTCTAGCCAAAATTTAAAATGTATTTAAAGTACTAGCATGCATAAAGATACTTTGAATGATGTGGGACTTACATATCCTCTTATTGATCACTTAAATGTCAAGGCCATCTATGGCCGACAAGTGAGTATGATTGCCGATGGTTTTGGGGAAAATGCTTACTGTCGAGGAAATGATTTGTAGATGTTGCAATAAGTTTTTAGACCCGTGGAATGCCGCTGCCGATCGAATCTAGCCCTACATAGGTGCTGTCAACGTGGCTGGAATTAATAAACGAATTTAAAAGGTGAGTTTTCGCTGTCTTGGGTGATCCATGATTTTGGCTTGGAATTGCGGAGGTTGCTGTTTTCGGTGAGTCGTTGCCCCTCGACGGGGCCTCAAAAATAGTTTAGGTGGTGAAATCTAACTTAGATTGAGGAGGGAGTGGTTCCGTCGTTACATCCCTTTCCTTTTATATAGTACTAGGGTAGGGTCAATATACCTATATGTCTTTCTAACGCTGTTTCTAACCGTGACACGCCCCTGTGATCTCAAGAGTGTCGTGCGCAATAAAATGAATCACCAGAAGTTTATTACTTCAGTAATGCCGGCGCCTTTGATCACAAAGTGAAGCATTCTCAGCTCTGCTATGCCATGCCATGCTATGCTATGCTCTGCCATGCCATGCTATGCTCAGCTCTGCTATGCCATGCCATGCTATGCTATTTCCAAGTAGTCACTGTGGCAGCAACCTCATGCTTAGTCAACCAGACACATCACAACAGAAAACAGTAATTTTTACAATGACGAAGAGAACGATAAGAAATTTCTTTTCTTTTTCAGACACAGCCAGTGATGAAGTACATATTGGTGGTCACAATATTTGGTGAGTATTGTTGCCATAATTATAAATAAGGGTTAGAACGCGAGTGTATTGATAGGCATCCGGTGTAGGGATAAACATTTGATTAGATGGATGGATGGCTGGTTGGTTGGTTGGCTGGTTGGCTGGCTGGCTGGCTGGTTGGTTGGCTGGCTTGGTTGGTTGGTTGGTTGGTTGGCTGGCTGGCTGGCTGGCTGGCTGGCTGGCTGGTTGGTTGGTTGGTTGGTTGGCTGGCTGGCTTGGTTGGTTGGTTGGTTGGCTGGTTGGTTGGTTGGCTGGCTGGCTGGCTGGTTGGTTGGTTGGTTGGCTGGCTGGCTGGTTGGTTGGTTGGCTGGTTGGCTGGTTGGCTGGCTGGCTGGCTGGCTGGCTGGTTGGGTGGTTGGTTGGTTGGTTTGTTGGTTGGGTGATTGAAAAAAAGGTTTGAGAGCAGTTTAATCACCATGATTATATTTCTCTGTTTCAGCCATTGGAGGAAAGGGCGAGGAGTGTCCCTTGGGTACATATGGTGAAACCTGTGATAAAAACTGCAGTACTAACTGTGCCCCTTCTCCTTTTGACAAGGCGGTCTTCTGTCACAAACTGACTGGAAGATGTTCAGAAGGATGCAAAAGAGGCTGGCATGGGGACCAGTGTAATCTGGGGTGTAGCAAGAACTGCCTCAACTATGTCTGTAACGTAGATACTGGAACTTGCATAAGATGTAAAGCGAACTATTCAGGGGATTATTGTGAGACATACGAAGGTACGTGGACTGAAGACTATGTATTTTTTATGTGGCTTTCATGATAACATGCACACAATTATTTCCCGTCAAGCGATACCTGACACATGACGGTACATGACAGTAATTGTTACTATATGTCAAAAGCATACCTATTTCTAGTCATATGAACAGGATACAAGACACATTGGTTGGTGACAGGGTAACCTGCAGACACAGTCGACTAAATCAGCAGTCAGGAGCTGAATCCCAGTGGGTATGTGAGGAATTTAGTACAGGTAGTTGTACTCGAAGTACATATTTCCCAATTCATAACGACTAATACTATGACCCACATGGGTAAACAAAGTTAAACAGTTTAGTGAGGTTTCGCTTGTTTACAAAACGCGTCCAGATATTTGGAATATTGCTAAGAGTGACGTTACAGAGGTGGTTCCACACGCCCTGCAAGCATGATACACTCCGCTGCTGGAGAGGCCTGATGTGGGAACAGTGGGGCCCTGGTCTGGAGAGGCCTGAGGTGACTGATGTCTGCTGAGAGGCAGATAAAGGAGAAATTTTAAGCACAGTTCGTTTCCACTCAGCAGTCGGACATTAGAGAGAGAGAGAGTACACTACGTGGGATAGGATAAGTTTAAAAATTTTATGTTTTGATCACCAGTTCCTCACACATCTGTTCCATTTTAGTTCTAAATTCTGAAACTGTTTTTTCAAGTGTACTTTGTACCACGCATCTATCAGCCATGCAGTTGGTCGGTTGCAGTAAAGATACCAGTCATCATAGTTTGATTTGAAATATTTACCCGTAATATTCTACCCCTTATAAATGTGTTAGTTAGTCAGTGCTGTGTGTCATTTAATATATACTGAGTCAAAAAAGAAACTTCACAATCTTTCTTCAGGGCACTATAAAAGAACAAGAGATGGTAAGATGGTTAAATTGTTATTATTCCATTGCTGAGATCTGTGTGATGTACTCGATACACTGACAGTGCCATAATCAGTTCCACTAGGCTACACCGCCGTTCAAAAACATGGGTATACAGAATGTCAAGTCACAAGAATAAAATGCGAAATTTCTCAGATCAGTATCGTGTATGGCCGCCCCGCGCATTCACCACTGCCAAACACCGTCTCCTCATCGACTGCCTGATGCTTGTGAACACGTGGTTGGGATTCTGCGCCATTGCTCTTGCAAGGCAGCGCCAAGTTCCTGCAAATTCTGAGGTTGGTTCCTAAGACCACGAAGCCTTCTCCTAAGTGCATCCCAAACGTGCTCTATTGGATTAAGGTCAGGGGACCTCGATGGCCAATCCATGACGTTGATTCCAGCGTTTTGAAGGAAATTTCGTATCAACATCGCGGTATGCGGCCGAGCATTATCATGCTGGAACTGTAGACCTGGGCCATGAGCCACCATAAAGGAACAATTTTCCGTGACGTCACACGTGGACGACCCGACCTTGGGCGATCAGAAGTTGTGCCAGTTTGTTGTAGACGACCTCGCAAGTCATACACAGTACGACGGCTGCATCCCATTGCTCTTGCGACGTCAATAACTGATCTTCCCGCTTGCAACATGCCAACGGCACGTTCACGTTGCACATTTGACAATCGTGGCATTTAAAGTACCGTTAGAACTGTGGTTTAAAAGTGTTTTTTCAATTCTTGAGGCCAATGTAAATACGTGCATATGAAGAAAACTTCGATGCGAAGATCATGTGATCGACTGCACGTGCAAAACTTGATTTGGCACTAACGTCATTTGCACGACGAATGGATGGGTTTGAGTGGGTTTTGCTAACGTTTTTCTAGAGTCGAAAGATAGGGATCCCATTTCGGATACATAGATGTATCATCAGGGAAAAATTATTCATTATTTTTCATTTTACATTTTGTGAAGTTTCTTTTTTGACTCAGTATATATGTTAATTTATTGATCAATTTCTTATAAACTTTTGATACAGTTTAAAGCTCTTTATAATAAGTAGCTTATTATGTCAGTTTGTTAGGAATTCATTTGCCAAAGAAATTCTGTTTAAAATCCGATATTGTTATGATGACATAAATACGAATTTAACACCAAAAGCGTTCCATCTATATATCTTCTTTCTTCTTTTTTTTTGCTTTTATCAATATTTGTACATAAGGTTATAGGGCAGGTTATACTTATGTATATTTAGAGCTAAAAAGTCCTGCATGTGTAATGTAATATTCACGTACGCAATACATACAAAAATATCAGATTAAATTACAGATGCAGATATCTATTGATGTGAAGAGGAAAAAGATTTGACATTATTATTTTTTGGGGAAAGTTAGTTTACAGCCAAGAAACATAAAAGGACTAGGTCTAAAAACGAAATATGAACTTTTTATGTCTGTTATGATAATCTGATCATTGTGAAGGCAAACTGGTATACATTCCTCTGTGTCTGAAAAACACTATCATTTTCTTCCATTCAAGTTTTTAAAAAGTGATTTTTATATATCCTTACTTTATCATGATCAGAATGCAGTCGTTGTAGAAATTTGCAATTATAGATTTCTACCATTCACCCATACATGCATAAGGGTTTTCCATGATGCATGACAACGAAAACAATATTTCAGTGATATCCATTCTATTTGTAAATCACATGTGTACATTATGTAATGGTATGTAGGTGATGATTGACATAATTCATCCATGACTGTTTAACTTACAATTCTTGAACATTCTGTTTCTTTGTTGTATACCTGCTAAATATTTGTGTTGCCAAAACTCTCATTTAAAACGACCTGACGAAATTCAAAAAAGTTTACATTTCGCTTACCGCATAATCTAGCTACCTGCCATACTGAATCGTCAAAATATAGCCTAATCAGCCATACTACAGAATGAGATTTGAGTGCGTATACAATAATAATACACTACAAAATTAACAGAGTGATATTCAGACAATTGGTGAAAAACTTAAATTACCTATTGCAAAACGTCATCAAAACGACAAAACGTGATCTGAAATAAACATCAACTGATTAAAACACCTCGCTTCGAATGACCATCTGGGGATTCATTATTGCAATAGAATCAATCATTGTCATCCCTGATATATCATGGAACAAATATTTCAGGATACAACACTTGATGTATCATCATTTAAGGGACAATATACTGTTCATACACCAGCGTGAACGTTACTGATAAAGGTGAAGGCTAAAGGTATAGGCACCAGGTACAAAGGGCCATATGTTATTGATACGACAGTGGTACTTACTGCCTTGTTCTGACACCAGGCTGTCGTAAACAGACCCAGGTTTGTCATGTATATGATTCGAAAGTATCACAATACACTTACACAATCGCTATTGCGTAAGATTGTGGTGCTTGTGAGAAATGAAATCTAAGCTAAACATTCTGATTTTTGGGCTTACATGGATGTTAAGTTAGATTATTGTTATGATTATTATTGGATATTTATAGAGCGCACATATATGCATGCATTAGTGCATGCTGAAGGCGCTGGTATTTTTCCCCCGATCATTAGATGTCAATCTCAACGGCACATCTTATTATCAATCTCAGCTCCCTGGGGATCATACAACTCTCTCTGCCACTAGGCGCACTGAGTTAATCTGACTTTCCCATCCTTATGAGTCACCTATTCTGGTCTGGGACATAGTCACAGTACTTTGTCCAAGTTTACTGCACGTTGCTGTACCCGCAACTAGTTGTTTGCACGTACTCATGTGACCACCATCTGGTTATATACCAACGGATTCGTGGGTTCTTTTTAAGTGCACATGGTTTTGTACTGTACACTAGGGGTTGTGACAACACTGATAGATCATTTTCCATCTGAGGGAAAAGCTAGGTGTCTTATTTATGACAGCCATGCTTACTGTCCAGGTGACGAAACGTGAATGCAGCAGTTATATTGGTTTGTAAACTGCCTTAATTTCAGAATGCATATGCTTAATTCTATCATATTTGTTTGTTTTTTGTTAGTGTCACAGATCATATTTTACTTACTGATTACAGATTAAGATATTGTTTCGACACATAACACAGTAAACAGACCAAAGCTTCTATTTAGCGCCCATAAACACCTCCCTCCAGAACAACAGCGCAGTTGTACAGAACTAGCGCGCTCCCATTCTGTGCTCTCAACAGAGCATACCAACTCGGTATAACAATAGCACATCGCTTGATATCGTAAGAACATATATTCCACAACCCCAAAATATAATTTTTAAAAACGATCTCTAGAATGATTACAATGAGCTAAAGTGTGGTCAAGGTCACAAGGTTCAATACTTACGCATCGTTGAGACACATGTATCAATTTTCAGACAAACCAGCGCTCAAAGGTGTGTTCATGACGAATAGTCTTGCTTTATTAAGGCGCTGTGGTAGCCGGTATCCTCCCATTTGTCAGACATCCAATAGTCAGACAGGTTAGAACAACAAACCAAATGGTTGAGTACACAGCTAATCTCCTGCCTGTTACCTCTTAATGAAATTGGAATTGCTCATAAAATAAAGAACAGAACAGAACTTTATTACACTCAGGCCGATATCATCGGCAGATCGGCATATGAGGTCGATATGACAATAAATGATACCATTATGTTAGTAGTATAATAGTAGTTAACCGGAAGATTTTACAGTGTGTAAGATATATTTACAGAATTTACTGACCTTTTTCGTAACAGATACCTCTTTACATGTAAAGAGTGCTTTGTATTTTAACATATTTAGAGAATATGTTTGACATTTTTTTGAATTTTCCACCTCTGAGCTCCAGATTTGAATTGGATGACATTTATTTTTTATCCAGGAAGATGAAATAGGAGACTGTTAAAGCCATACATTACTTAACCCAATGTTATTGAAAATATTCCCTGTACCTGACATCCAGGTAAAGCTGTGAATAGCTTCACTATGAAGATGATATACAATAGAACAAAAGATTGAAAAACCTCGGTTGAATTAGACCAAAAAGTTAATATAAGACTTTTAAGGTCAACAGAAACTTGGGCTCTACCTAATTCACCATGAAGCATATATACGTACAATGGGGTACTTTTTTACAGGCAATAATTATCTCATAAAACATATATGTAATTTTCAATTTATTTTGAATTAACATATCCCCCAAATTGATATAGTTAGTTTGAAAGAACATTTTCTATCAAAAATAACTCCAAGATATTTATACCCAATGACAGTTTTCCAACTGGGACATTCCGGTGAATATATGGGTGTTGTCCTAATTAATCCCTAGTCCAGTGTCTAACAATTCGATTCCTAATTAATGGGATGTCTAACTAATGGGAGTAAAGCGTGGTAGTCTAGTGGTTAAAGCTTCCGCTTGTCACGCCGAAGACCCGGTTTCGATTCCCCACATGAGTACAGTGTGTGAAACCCATTTCTGGTGACCTTGCAATGATATTGCTGGAATATTGCTAGAAGTGGCGTAAAACCATACTCACTCACTTGCTTTATTAGAATTAATATTTTTGTTTTCAGGAAGTGGTCCTAAGAAAAGTGAAACACAGACGGCAGAACAGAATGCCTCAAGACCTGTGTCTATGATGCCTGTTCCCGTGTTCATCGGTGTCGTCGTCATACTCGTCATCATCATCATCATCATTCTAGTTGTTTACATATGTCGAAGAAGGTATGAATACATTTCACTGAAACAGGTCATATACAAGAAGTTGCCTTTGAATGATAAGTCACATCCGAGACACTTTCTGGCGAGTTCGATACTTAAAAGCAATGTCATTATTTAGCGTTGACAGAATTTCTAACTGTCATATAGATATGTCGTTGTCACAGACAAAACTCAATGTCTTGTTTTATTGACACCTGTGTGTCTGCCTGCCTGTCTGCTAATGACAATATTCAATACACAGCTGCTATCACTGACCACATGCAATTTGAACTTAACACCAATCAGGCTATACACCATAAACAAAATGCATTGATTTATGGCCCGAGTTCGGTCTCTGTCACATTATGTAATTACACAGACAGGCAGGTGTGATGCTTGCACATGACATGTTATGATGTCTGTTGATTGCAAAATGTTATACACAAAAAATGAGCATATATTTACAAAACCCAACATCTCTCTATATATATACATACAATTAACCGTGAAGGCATCTGCAAATGAACCAGCCGTTACACTTGAGTGCACACCCACCTGCTCTGACTGGTATCACAGCTGCTTCGTTTCTTTAACTCCAGTTTTACGTGTGTGTACATTGTGTGTGTTTTGTTAACTTGGTGATGGGCAGAACCCAAGATTATCTTTACCTATCCTGAATAGCAGGATTCCACAGGGATCGGGTTGATTCTTACAACTATAATCTGTCGGTACCTGCACAATACATGTATAAGAGATTACCCTCAATTATGAACTTCCCACGATGAGCTGTAATTTGCGATCGAGTCATAAATACGAGAAATGATATCAAGCTTTGGTTTAAGATGAATATTGATTCTCTTAGGTTCAGGTTAGAACCCATGCGGGTCCTAACCGGCGACTAAATGGGTCGTGTGGTCAGGGTCGGTGACTTACTTGATGTCGACGTAACCCAGTTGTGTAGATCGATGCTCATGATGTCAATCACTGGATTATATTCCAATTGCGATTACTAATTCAAAATTGATTAATGCGATGAGCAAACAAACATGACATTTGGTTTTATGTTAATTACTGATTGCTGTTCTGTTGCAGGCATGTGTGTATGATAAAAGGAAGGCGAATGGGTAAGATATAAATAAACAGATTTATGACATCACATATGTGACCCCTTCACTCATAAGTAAGGTTACTCTTTTGACCGTTTTTCAGGAATCAAATGACACCGCCATGTATAAAAGTACATTGAGAATGTATGTTGTTCCCGTGTAGTACCTATAAATCAAAGCTGATCATCTTCTTACTGTTGAGCGCTTTAACACCTCACTTGTCCTGAAGGGCTATATCAGATTATATCATCGCAAATGTTACAATGGATCATGGATTCAAACGTTTTACCACATCAAAACTAGGAGTTCAATATGATAGCCAGGAGGACGTTTTCCACACTCAGTTTCGATTATCTTGTGAGTGCTTAGACTTGGTGTTGTGCTGGCCATGATTTGACTTTTGTAGATACACTTTGCACGCTCAATACAGTGAAGGAAATATATGAATGAGATATTTTCAAATATGTTAAAATATGATACAAAGTACATATTTACACACGAAAAGACATTTTATCTAAAGCAACAAACAACTATCCAGATCCCACAGCTAACGCATACACACATCCAGATTCACCTGTAAAACATGGCACTAACTCATGCAGTACAACTTTATCTTGAACGCAATGTGCCCGTGTGACGCATGCACCTCGTTATAGCGTTATTACGGCCGTCCGAAAACGTATGATGTCCGAAAATACATAATCCGACGATATAACGAGTATTTAGATTCATGATCATGATCAGTCCATGTTAATACTCACCAACACATCAGCTATATGCCCCCTTTTATTAAAAGGCAGGATAACTGATATAACAGAAGATGCCTTAGTCATGAAAGTTCTGTGTATTAGCCACGGGAATGATTTTCCGATAAATCAATGTGGATTTTGTTTGTGTGTCAGTATGTGATGCTGTAATATCAAGTATGATAAAAGTGGGGCTTATGTTTTTTCGAACGAACTGATTTTACCCAGGCGTAAATTTTACTGGTTGTGTTGATTTCACAGGATGGAGTTGTATGTTACGTCCGATCATTAGGTCAGTCACACTCTGTATCTAGGATAAGTTGTTTCAAGAAAAATTTGTCAGTTAGAGAATTATATTGTGTCCGTTGTGTTAGAGTGTGTCAACTGTCAATTCAACCTAATGAACAACGTTGTGACAATTGTAACTTCCAATCTACACCTGGCTCATTTTACACAAGAATAATGTTTTCAATTTGTATAAATTCTCACAACATTGAAGAGCAGGTCGTGCTAGGATCGCATCACACAGAGGCAGTGTACCGTGAGTTCCCTTCGTAACCAATTACTGATGAACATTAGGCGTAACTTCACTCACCACTGCCATCTACTGAATCTCACAGGATCTACGTCTCTTCAGACTTTTCTCCCAAATTAAGTAGTTACGATGAGGGCGGAAACCGATCTGATTATAATTATATACAGTCAAAACAGAGAAACTAAATCTTTAAAGACTACACGACTGAAACAATGGAATAAAGGGAAGCTGAAACATAGTATCCACTGTACATCTGTAAATCAAGACTCCATATCATTGCCAAATATTGTTTAAAATATCGTCTTGAAGTATAGGTTCAGGTTCCTTAGACATATTTTCCTATTTTCAGGCTGCGATGATGTGTCCGGTCTAGATCTAAAGCTCCTCGCTGATGGCGGTAAGAACAAATCACTAACGAAAATATGTTCAGGTGATAGAACAGATTTTGGACGGAATAACAAGTTCATTTCATTTCAGATGGTTCCATAATGTAGTACAGTTGAGTTGTAAGTTTGGAACGGATGGGTATTCAGATAAGTACCCTGGTTTTCATGTTTGTCATCCATTTTCACATGGCAGGAATATCTTGCTCAATTTCTTGGAAGGTCTGGGGTTGATTTTACAGCGCATCCAAATGTGTTCCATCGATGTCAAGTCTGAGAAACGTGTTTGTATGGTTTATTTCCCTGCCGCCATCCTATGACAGGGGCACCATTGAAGATTAAATTACGTTCCTTCTTAATGACAATGTGCATTTCGGATGCTACCGGAAGGGCAAGATTATGTTAATACTCGTGATCACTGGTGTCATTACTGAAATTTAGTGATCCGTTCGTATATAAATTAAGGCTCGTATATTTTTCGCCCTTTACGTTCAATCCTGTAGTATTTGGGGCCGTTATTCTCGAAACGTTCGTAGCCTTAAGAATTCTTATCTTTGACCGTAGCCAATGTGTTAAGAATGGGCTTAAGAAGTTCGTAGGGCTACGAACATTTCGAGAATAGCTAGCCAGGTATGATATATCCCCTGGGAACTTGGTGCTAATGTTATTGACATTGTGTAACAATTTCTACTTACTTCTTCCTTTCCACTTCTAAAATTGTATGTATCAACTCGCATTATGTACCTGATGAAAGACTCGTTGCAAATTTGTAAGATGTGTCATGTGACCAGTAGTATGACCTTTGTGTTACAGAGGCCAACAACCCACAACGTCCTCGAGACATATGTTTACTTCCACCATACTGAAAACTTCTCATGTACTCATTTGGACTGGTTCGTTTTAAGTGTTGCTGGTTTGTAAGATACATATGATCATCAGTATGACCTTGGTGTTACAGCGGACACTGACCTCCATGTCGCCTGCAAGGAAGGGAACCTACAGCGAGTCAGAGACATTCTGGACCAGAGTCTGGTGGACATCAACAAGCAGGGGAAAAGAGGAATGACACCGGTGATGTGGGCAGCAAGAAGGGGACACAGAGAACTGGTTGACTTACTTGTGAAGAAAGGTGCTGATTTGAAAATTGTGGACAATGATGATAACAACATCCTTCACTGGGCCTGTTATGGAAAGCATGTGACAATGGTGAAACATGTCGTCTCAAAGAACATGGTTGACATCAAAAGTAGAGGGTGGGATATGCGGACCCCACTCATGTGTGCAGCTTGTCAGGGGAATATAGACATGTTTCAGTTACTTGTAAGTAAAGGGGGTCTTGCTATAGAAGCAGACATAGATGGGAACAACATCCTTCGACTCGCCTGTTGGGGTGGCAATGTGGATATTGTGCGCTATATCCTCTTACATGATACTGTAGACATCGATGGTAGAGGACAGTCCGGGAGGACTCCATTGGAGGTGGCAGCATGCAAAGGACATGGAAAGATCTTCGACCTACTTGTGACTAAAGGAGCCGATCTCACTGTAGTTGATAATGCTGGTAACAACATCCTCCATTCGGCCTGTCTTGGGGGACATGCGAATATTGTGAGCCGTGTCCTCAAGCTGGGCAAGGTGGACATAAACAGTCGCGGTCAGTGCAGAAGGACGCCTCTGATGATGGCAGCAAGGATGGAGGATAAAGAAATATTTGACTTGCTCGTGAAAGAAGCTGATACAACACTAGAGGATGATGATGGTAACACCATCCTTCATCATGCTTCTGAGGGAGGAAATGTTGATATAATGAAGGATGCCCTCGGGGTGACGAATGTGGACATCAACGCCAGGAACAAGCATCGTGAAACACCGACCATGCTGGCGACAGAGGGTGGTGACGTGTGCAACCTCCTGGTACAACGTTGTGGACTTATGCAGTAACTGAAAGAAAAAAAGGACTGGCAAATTCTCCAGATGAAAATGTCCGTATGATAAAATAGTTCCAGTACTTATCTGAAATATTGTGAGCCTTGTATTCCTCCTCATCGTGAATAGGATGGACGTCAAATTAAGATAAACCAAAACTTCCTATGAAATGCAAGAAGAATAGTACACCATCCACGCCATATATGTTGGGCATATCCGTTTTTCAGTAAAACATAATGAATATCAATGAATAGACTTGACCGGTTAATTTACCCCCAACCTGTATTTCCAGTATGGACTTCAGAGCAAGAATGGACACCTTTGTTCAGCAGCTATTTTTCTGAATGAACTGAAATACTGAGGGTGTCACAGAACTGATCTATTCAGAGAGTACGACTGCATTTCTGTGTTTATTGCATGGAACGTCGTTTCGATTTCTTGTACCGTTATCAAGCTGAAGTATACTTCTAGAATGCCGATCAGAAAATTGAAATATTGGTATTTAAACATAGCGGAAAGGCATAATGTGGATACAGCTTTTGGGAATATCCTTTATGCAAGGAGGCATTCGTGGACGTAAATGGACGACAGCATTGCTAGACAATATGACCTGTAATCACTGAAAGGTCAGTCAGCTTGCATGTCCAAACATGCATCTCCTCCTATCCCATCCAACAAGACAGTCGGTGGTGTGCACTTTAATATCTGCAGTGTCTCAACACATGGAGGCATGACAGATGATCTGCTGCAAGATGTTACCTGTTGCTCATATACCTTGCTTTAATAGTAAATGTGTGGACAACACGGATCCTCAATCACACAATGCTTGTCCGTTGCTAGATGTTCCGTTGCTGATGATGTAGATAGTAGAGGAAGTATAATCATTAAACACATGTACATGTGTCTATCACACCAATATGTAATGTCAAGTTAGCTGTCCAATTGTCTGCAGACAGACCTGTTGTTTTACACCGATACTGGATGTGAACAGCAGGGTCATGTTAGCAGTTAGTTAATGCAATGGAGGGCATTTTCCTTTCTTCCCCGTATAGCATGAAAGCTGATCGAATAGTTTTGTGATAGTTGTCTCCCTTATACCATAACAATCCTTCAGCCAATATAAAACAGTTAAAGCTGGAACTATTAACATTCCATGAACACAAAGAAAGTATATAATGTTTACCTTGCAATGAATACTTAAATCCACGTACTTGTGAATCCATGCTATTTCGTAGCCCTATTATATTGTGATCGTAATTGATATTGATAATTGATTGTGATGATTGTGATAATCTTGCTATCAAGCAGTCCTTCGACGACAGGACGTCATAAATGTCAGTATGCTTGATATAAATAACATTAATTTTGTCTCGTGACGATATTTCTGAAATATTGCCGATGGGACGGTGCATTTTACTCACTCACTCAATACTCCACCCCAACCCTAAATAAGGCCACTCCCGCTAAATTACACTGTTTTCATATTGACTAATAATGTTTTGCATTACTTCACTGAATCATAAACCGATCTTGTACCCTGTAATTCCAGCATTTTGATTAGCTGAACTGGTCACGTGATCTCTATTCGCATTGTCCATAACAAATTAAGCTTCATCCACTACCTACTTTCAACTCAAGGGACAGCCGGGGAATTCCAATATTACAGTCTTACATACATGTACAACCTTTTCTACTTCACATGCATGGAGGCAATTCATAGAGTTTCATTTTTTTTCAGTTCATACCTCCATGAACCGAAAACATTACAAGTCAATCCTTAAATACATTTCATCCTGGAACCAATTTGATCTAAACAGACACCTCCAGTCCACTCCCTGCTACAGCGTTTATTTTGTAACCTTGTTTCATTATGTTGCTATATTTGTACTTACGCTGTGAGGTATGGGCTTAATGTATGTGTGTGTCAGAACAAATACAAACCTGGACTTGACATTGTAATGTTTTACATGTTTACAAATTCCATTCAGTTGTTTGGTATGTGTTTACTAAAACAAATTCATTTTTTTGAGTTGCAAAATTCAGTCTTAAATTGACTGAGTTCCTGGTCCAACTTTTATTGTACTGTCTTCACAAGCCTCTGCAAAATCACTTGTCCATCCCATCGGGCCCTTTCACGTTTTTCATTACCATTGACTATTTGAAGAACACGCGAGGCTTTTAAAACGTTTAAATATGTTGTTTTTCTGATTGATTCCACGTTTCAGCTTGCATGTTGTTGTGATGTCTGACCTACGACTGTGCTGCTCCATCTCACTACAGATATATTGTGTCGAGTCTGCTTGCTATTTCAGTTAATGATGCATGTGGGTTTAAGACACACACATTATTTATATTCATTGTTCAAACTGATTGCGTGTTTTATCAAATGTTTTAATATGAACTTGCAAGGTGTTGTTCTACGGCTGTAGCTTACATAACACATTTTATCTTTAATCTTCATTTCAGTTTATCGCTCACAGAGAGCTATGCAGTCAGGTATCATGAACAAGGGATTAGATCATCACAGATACTCTGATAACAAAACATGTAATGGGTCAACTATGAGATCACGACACTGTAAAACGTTTACATTTCATTTTAGAAATCAAGAGCAATGCGTTATTCTGTAAAATAATAGCTCACCTACATGTCTAAAATATCACGTTGTCTTGTAAGAAGAACTGCGATCTGTGGGGCGATTTACATAGCGTTTTGTATACATTATTATGTGGATATTTGGATCATGACAAACTTTACACATTCACTTTACATTACACATATGTGACTGGCTCTCATTAAGGCCTGAATGACTGGGGACGTACAATTTTTAAGAGAAGGGTAAAGAAGCAAATAAAAAATATTTGTTTACTTTCACTCTGATAAACACTTGCTCTAATCCAATGAAGAAATGTATTTTGTAATTCATCCTTAAGAAAAACACATATCTTTTCAACATACCTAAAATATAACATGAGCCAAGACAGGTTATTTTCTGCTTTCCTGTGGATCTTTTTGGTTTTCTTTGGTGATTACATCATGCATGAACTAAAGGTCTGACGTCACACTCGGAACTAATTTCATGCATGATTTAATCAAAACACATTTCTGTGAATAACTGTAAGGTGGAGTGTCCAAGAGCGTATTCTGCTGAGACCGGGAGTATGTGACATGTGATCTCACCTGTTCCCTGGGAACAATCAAACCTCACCTTAAGGGTACTGTCAACACCAGTTAATGTGCCAAAACCACACGGTTCTTTAGAGTACATCCACAGTGCAAACAACGAGACTTACCAAGAGTTTTGTATACATGTACATATAGATTAATACATAGTAACACTTATAGATGCCCAGGAGCTGGAGGGTCATACTCTGGGCCATCAGCTGACGGTAGGATGTAACACTTGTAGATGTCCAGGAGATGGGGGGTCATACTCTGGACCATCAGCTGACGGTAGGATGTAACACTTGTACATGTTCAGGAGCTGGAGGGTCATCCTCAGTACCACCAGCTGACGGTAGGATGTAACGAGAGTACAATGTAGTATCTATAAATAAGTAATTAATTAACCTGCCCATGTACTACAGTGTTTAAGGGCTCAAGGCACTGTACCACCGGCCCACACTTGATTTTCTAACACATCCACCTCTTGATTGTCTTGCTTGTGTTGATTGTCTTATCATGACTCCCAACGTCGGTACAATGAGTGAAGCCTTTCCTGATGTCCCACTTGTGAGGCTATTGCTGACAAGTACGTAAAACCATATATAATACTAACTCACGTACGTTTTATATTTGTGTGTTGTCAGTGGGGCTGTACTTGTATCACCCAGTGAGATGTGATTGACGGAGTAGTCTCCCTTGTACTGTGCATGTCCCAGTGAGCCCCGCTGTTATTGTGATGTTGGTATGCCTGCTCTAACAGTGGCTTGTGTGGAGTGCACCTGTTTTGTGAGCAGTCTGTGCAGCGTACTGACGGAGTAGTGTCCCTTGTATCGTTCATCGCTTATGCGTGACAGGAGGGGACATCGATCACTTGAGTTACCCACACACTGCAGGTCTGGGCATTCTCAGCGGTCTGTCGCGTGTACCTGTACTTAGTGGAGGAGTTCTCAGTGTGAATGGCAGCAGTGTGTCAAACGCATAAACTGTATACAAACGTGGAATGACATGGTGGTCGAGTCTGTATATCGTATACATGACAGTGTGTGACCAGTGTAATATCATTATACTATATATACAAACGTGGGATGACATGGTGGTCGAGTCTGTATACCGTATACATGACAGTGTGTGACCAGTGTAATATCATTTTACTATATATACAAACGTGGGATGACATGGTGGTCGAGTCTGTATACCGTATACATGACAGTGTGTGACCAGTGTAATATCATTATACTATATATACAAACATGGGATGACATGGTGGTCGAGTCTGTATACCGTATACATGACAGTGTGTGACCAGTGTAATATCATCATACTATATACACAAACGTGGGATGACATGGTGGTCGAGTCTGTATACCGTATACATGACAGTGTGTGACCAGTGTAATATCATTATACTATATACCAACGTGGGATGACATGGTGGTCGAGTCTGTATACCGTATACATGACAGTGTAATGATCATACTATATATACATATATATATACATATAAACAAACGTGATGACATGGTGGTCGAGTCTGTATACCGTATACATGACAGTGTGTGACCAGTGTAATATCATCATACTATATATACAAACGTGGGATGACATGGTGGTCGAGTCTGTATACCGTATACATGACAGTGTGTGACCAGTGTAATATCATCATACTATATATACAAACGTGTGATGACATGGTGGTCGAGTCTGTATACCGTATACATGACAGTGTGTGACCAGTGTAATATCATTATACTATATATATAAACATGGGATGACATGGTGGTCGAGTCTGTATACCGAATAACTGAAAGTGTGTGACCAGTGTATCATCATCATACTATATACAAACTTGGGATGACATGGTGGTCGAGTCTGTATACCGTATACATGACAGTGTGTGACCAGTGTAATATCATTATACTATATATACAAACGTGGAATGACATGGTGGTCCAGTCTGTATACCGTATACATGACAGTGTGTGACCAGTGTAATATCATTATACTATATATACAAACGTGGGATGACATGGTGGTCGAGTCTGTATACCGTATACATGACAGTGTGTGACCAGTGTAATATCATTATACTATATATACAAACGTGGGATGACATGGTGGTCGAGTCTGTATACCGTATACATGACAGTGTGTGACCAGTGTAATATCATTATACTATATATGCAAACGTGGAATGACATAGTGGTCCAGTCTGTATACCGAATACATGACCGCCTGTGACAGGGGTTATATAATCACTGTGTATACAAACGCTGGATGACCTATTTTCAGTTTATGGACCAATTTGACCCAAATACATTACTACTAAACATAAGAACGTTAGTCAACAAGAGCTTTCAACACAACGCTGTTCTAATCGAACCTGCATAATTCTCATACATAGGTTATTCCTACCGTTCAAAAGTACGTATGCTGAAGATCATGAATGTTTTCATACGATCAGGAATGATACAGATTTACACGATTATGGCTCGTGGAAGGAATAAAACTAATTACAAATTCCTGCACCTTAGTCGACTAAACAGCCCGTTACAGTGTACAACAGTTAATCGCCTTATAAATACGATCAACACCCATCTTTCCATATAGTCTATTCTGTAAATAACCTACTTTGCAGCCTAACTACTCCATCAGGCACAAAACCCGAGATGAGTGGATCATATAAAATATGATTTGGGTTTACACTACCTCAGTAAAATACAGTACTTATATTAGACTGAGTCCCATCCGGGATTCGAACCCACACTCTCAGTGTCAGGCACCAAGTCGCCAGCACACAATGTCAGCCGTCTAACCCACAGTGGATCATGGGTGGATCATGTACGAATAAAACACATCTCCCTTTTAACTTGAATGACCACCAACTTCATACCAACAATGAATGGCTTCACTGACGGCGGCTGGAGGGAGTATCTGTTTGAATAGTGTACTCCGGGGGTAACGTGTGTCCTTACATACTGTACAGACATACAGAGGGACCCTGTCCTACTCGTGATGGAGGTTACAGTGACATACATGGAGGGACCCTGTCCTACTCCTGTGCTGGAGGTTACAGTGCTGAGACCCTGTCCTACTTACAGGTTACAGTGACAGAGGGGACCCTGTCCTACTCGTGCTGGAGGTTACAGTGACATACAGAGGGACCCTGTCCTACTCGTGCTGGAGGTTACAGTGACACACAGAGGGACCCTGTCCTACTCGTGCTGAGGTCCATACAGAGGAACCCTGTCCTACTCGTGCTGGAGGTTACAGTGACACACAGAGGGACCCTGTCCTACTCGTGCTGGAGGTTACAGTGACATACAGAGGGACCCTGTCCTACTCTCGTGCTGGAGGTTACAGTGACATACAGAGGGACCCTGTCCTACTCGTGCTGGAGGTTACAGTGACACACAGAGGGACCCTGTCCTACTCGTGCTGGAGGTTACAGTGACATACAGAGGGACCCTGTCCTACTCGTGCTGGAGGTTACAGTGACATACAGAGGGACCCTGTCCCACTCTGTGCTGGAGGTTACAGTGACATACAGAGGGACCCTGTCCTACTCGTGCTGGAGGTTACAGTGGCATACAGAGGGACCCTGTCCTTACAGTGACATACAGAGGGACCCTGTCCTACTCGTGCTGAGGTTACAGTGACACACAGAGGGACCCTGTCCTACTTACAGTGCTGGAGTTTACAGTGACATACAGAGGGACCCTGTCCTACTCGTGCTGGAGGTTACAGTGACATACAGAGGGACCCTGTCCTCTCGTGCTGGAGGTTACAGTGACATACAGAGGGACCCTGTCCTACTCATGCTGGAGGTTACAGTGACATACAGAGGGACCCTGTCCTACTCGTGCTGGAGGTTACAGTGACATACAGAGGGACCCTGTCCTACTCGTGCTGGAGGTTACAGTGACATACAGAGGGACCCTGTCCTACTCGTGCTGGAGGTTACAGTGACATACAGAGGGACCCTGTCCTACTCGTGCTGGAGGTTACAGTGACATACAGAGGGACCCTGTCCTACTCGTGCTGGAGGTTACAGTGACACACAGAGGGACCCTGTCCTACTCGTGCTGGAGGGACCCTGTCCTACTCGTGCTGGAGGTTACAGTGACATACAGAGGGACCCTGTCCTACAGGTGACATACAGAGGGACCCTGTCCTACTCAGTGTGCCTACTCGTGCTGGTTACAGTGACATACAGAGGGACCCTGTCCTACTCGTGCTGGAGGTTACAGTGACATACAGAGGGACCCTGTCCTACTCGTGCTGGAGGTTACAGTGACATACAGAGGGACCCTGTCCTACTCGTGCTGGAGGTTACAGTGACATACAGAGGGACCCTGTCCTACTCGTGCTGGAGGTTACAGTGACATACAGAGGGACCCTGTCCTACTCGTGCTGGAGGTTACAGTGACATACAGAGGGACCCTGTCCTACTCGTGCTGGAGGTTACAGTGACATACAGAGGGAACATGTCCTACAGAGGGAACATGTCCTACTCGTGCTGGAGGTTACAGTGACATACAGAGGGACCCTGTCCTACTCGTGCTGGAGGTTACAGTGACATACATGATCAAAATGACAGTGTAGTCTAACATTTTCCTTGATACCCCATGCCAACAGTTCACAGGAATATATAAGATCTGTCTTTACAATTTCATTGCTAGCAATAGTAGCATTTAGCATGAGGTATTGAAATAGATTTACAAAGCTCCTAAAGACCGTGAGTTGAATGCATATAGTGATAACTGTTGTTACATGATCACTCGTGGTCGCCATGAATCTGTATGAGGAGGCCACAAGAGTATCGTTTAGGTGCAGCGTACATTATGCATTATATAGAAATAACGGGGAACTTGTGTTCCAGTGACACGCCGCCTCGTAATGCCAGTGTTGTCTGACATCTTGTTTAATTATCCATGGTGATATACAATTCGTTTCATACCGATTTATTGTAAGCAATAGTCACTACACCTGCTTTTGGAATAACGTCAACAAATAAACATCATAAAGGCAATAGTGAAAACATGCTTCAGTACACCTCTGGATACTTCCATGCTCCACAATCTGTCGCCGTTCTACATAACACAAAGAGTACTGTGAACATGTGACTTTGGACTGAACAAAAGTCTTGCTATCAGCATGCACGTCCATCTGTAAATCCTCATTAAACCAGCACTGGAAAAGCTACAGACATTAACACAGGACTATGTCAGCTGCCTGTTTAGCCAGACATGTATGTAGCGACCTGTGCTGCACACCACTGTCAGCCGTAGTCCATGTTGTGTTGTGTTGTGTTGTGTGGGTTGTGGGGTTGTGTTGTGTTGTGGGTTGGGTGCAAGCACGGCAGTAGGACATGTTATGTGTTATATCGCCTGCAGTATCTTATTCACTATATGTAATACATTTCATATCTGGCTGAATTGTAAAGTGGGCGTCTCACCACCATCAAAACGACGTGAATGACTTTAGACCTTCACAGGTGATTAACATTCGACATATCAACATGCATTTGAGGAGATTTGCTATGATATTGCATCACAACTCTCTTGTAAACCCAACGTCTTGAAGATGTTTGTTTTTGCAGCCAACTGAAGTTTAAATGTTATATTTCAGTTATATCTTTAGTGGAATGTAAACGTATACTCATGCCATCAAATATCTCCGCTATTTGGGGAAACTGAAACTGAATATCAAAACATATTTTCCGCTCCATGTCTACATAAAACACTATCGTGATGTAAGATATGGACATTGATTAGAGAGAACAGAGAGTCACTGGTCTCGTTTAAAGGGGGAACCTGTTTGGTGCAGATATAACTGAAAACTCAAAGGTGGAATTCGGAAGTAGTCACTATATCAATGGCGGAAACCGTCCACATACCACACACATGGCCTCATATTTTTCTTGAATAATGTCTGCATGCCCAACTTGCAGTAAACTGCATTCACACACAGAGTTGTTATAAATGATAACACGCACCATCCATCACCATCACTCTAAACGCACAGACACGCACCATCCATCACCATCACTCTAAACGCACCAACACGCACCATCCAACCCCATCACCCTAAACGCACCAACACGCACCATCCAACACCATCACTCTAAACGCACCAACACAACCAAACGCACCAACACGCACCATCCAACACCATCACTCTAAACGCACCAACACGCACCATCCAACACCATCACTCTAAACGCACCAACACGCACCATCCAACACCATCACTCTAAACGCACCAACACGCACCATCCAACACCATCACTCTAAACGCACCAACACGCACCATCCAACACCATCACCCTTTAAACGCACCAACACGCACCATCCAACACCATCACTCTAAACGCACCAACACGCACCATCCAACACCATCACTCTATCCAACAAACGCATCACATCATCCTAACATCGCAAACACGCACCAAACACGCACCATCCAACACCATCACTCTAAACGCACCAACACGCACCATCCAACACCATCATCCACCAACACACCATCATCACCATCACCTAAACGCACCAACACGCACCATCCAACACATCATCACTCTAAACGCACCAACACGCACCATCCAACACCATCACTCTAAACGCACCAACACGCACCATCCAACACCATCACTCTAAACGCGCACCAACACCATCACTCTAAACACAACACGCACATCCAACACCATCACTCTAAAACGCACCATCAACACCATCACACACCATCAACATCACTCTAAACGCACCAACACGCACCATCCAACACCATCACTCTAAACGCACCAACACGCACCATCCAACACCATCACTCTAAACGCACCATCCAACACAAACACGCACCATCCAACACCATCACTCTAAACGCACCAACACGCACCATCCAACACCATCACTCTCTAACGCATCCAACACCATCACTCTAAACGCACCAACACGCAAACACGCACCATCCAACACCATCACTCTCAAACGCACCAACACGCCACATCATCCAACACCATCACTCTAAACGCACCAACACGCACCATCCAACACCATCACTCTAAACGCACCAACACGCACCATCCAACACCATCACTCTAAACGCACCAACACGCACCATCCAACACCATCACTCTAAACGCACCAACACGCACCATCCAACACCATCACTCTAAACGCACCAACACGCACCATCCAACACCATCACTCTAAACGCACCAACACGCACCATCCAACATCCAACACCATCACTCTGAACGCACCAACACGCACCATCCAACACCATCACTCTGAAACGCACCAACACGCACCATCCAACCACACCATCTGAAGGGATATCAAACCTCAAAACCTCCAAATCATGACGGATTTTTCTAAGTTATTGTCCAAATATTGTGATATTTCCATTGAGCTTTGTTGGTGCATTTACAATTAGTATTACGTTAGACTAGTTTGAGCAGTGGTACGGTATAGTGAGATTGTGTTGGTGGTTTAGTAGCATTGGAAGAACCTTCAGTTCATTGAGAAATATATCATGTCAAATATTGTGTGTATACATGTGACATGGGGTGACAATGTTTATTTCTGGTTAGCAGTTAGGTTATGTTGTAGTGAAGAATAGTCCGTGAAAGTAAGGGAACTTGCTTATTCTGAAGAGCTGTCAGCTAAAGACCTCCCTGTGTGAGAGTGGCGACGTTACGACGTGGCGACGTGGTGATTGTGCTTCACAATTATGCTCCCAACGGTGAGAACTTTGGTACAGACAAGTGTGCTATTCTGTCTGAAGTATGAAGGGCCTTGTAGGCCAAGTTACGTGTCACACAAAACTGTTATATTACATGACTGGCATTGGTATCAGCCATGTGTGAATTACTCAATATACTTTATCTTAATTCGATAGTTTTAGGATGCCAAAACCGATTTCAAATCATTTGTTCATGTTAAGGAAAATATTTGTTTCGTGTCATAATACATGGCGGATGCAGGTATTGCACGTGATGTGCTTGTTTTTAATGGTATTATGTGCATATTTAAAATCACAATAATCATGCAAACAAACATATGTATGTTTGTGCCTGTGGCAGACAGACAGACAGACAGACAGACAGACAGACAGAGAGAGAGAGAGAGAGAGAGAGAGATTGAATAGATGCAAAAATGAAAAAAATAAGATCCATAGATTATATCTATATATATAGATTGAGCATATACATGATTTAGAAAAGAGCCAACTTCACTCAACAGTATCACTGGTAGTGAATTGGGAGTGACATTGGCTCTGTGTTTGTTTAAATGTATACCTGTGAACTATAAAAAACACACTTTCCTTATATATAGGTGTGTGTGTGTGTGTGTGTGTGTGTTACCAAGGCAAGGCACAGATAATATATCGATAAAACAGTGCTCAAAAGAAACTATACACCGCAATTTATTGCATGAATATTCACCAAAATAAAAATGAACTGATAAAACCATACTATGTCATGTCACACGTGTACAGACCCATCCTTTCCGGAAACAAGCAGCGAAACCAACTTGCGAGTCGTATAAACGTCTTACAAATTCCTAAACGACTTTTTTCTGATGTAACGTTAAGTGCACGTGCATACTGACAGTATAAAACAGCCTACGCGACACGTGAGCTACATAGTAGTACAAAGAACTAAAGAAACATGCCCCATTTGAGGCAAATCGAAAGAGAGAGAGAGCTGTCGGAATGACCCAACATGGAGTTAACCACACTGTTAATGCCAGAACCTCCGAGCAGTTGTAGGCAGACTGATGCAACGACTAAGACAAACGGGCAACACATCAGACAGACGTAGGAGTGTGACAACGCCCGGTGATGATCGCCACATCCGGACCATTCATCTGAGTAGTCGTTTTGTAAAGGCGACGTCAACGGCAGCGACGGCATTAGCACACCGTATCAGTCGACATACAGTGTACCGACGACTAAGAGAACATGGTATTCGAGCACGTCGACCCTGCCTCGGAGTGCATCGGACTCTTCAAAACCGACTTGGTCGATTGATATGGGCCAGGCGAGTTCAACGTTGGCAGATGCGTGATTGGCCACATGTGATGTTCACCGACGAGAGCAGGTTTTGCCTGTACAGTATTCACGGCCGGGCTCGTGTATACAGACGAGCAGGTGAACCTTTAGCGCCGAATTACGTTCAGTAAGTTCGACCGTTTGGTGGTGATAGCGTGATGGTGTGGGGGTCGACCTGCCGAGATCTCAAAACGAAACTTATTTTCATTTCATAATTATTCATGGCAACCTGAATGCTCGAAGATACAAGGAAGTTTTGCGACCACTTATCCTTAGATAAACAAACGAGGTCTTAAGTTGTTTATTAACACGCTGGTCATGCTTCGAGTCACTGGTTTGTCTGGTTTAGACGACTATCCACAGGTCACCATGATATAACTATTTTGCTAGTGTTACCGCGGCGTTTGTTTGCCGTGTTATTGAGAAAACTACATCACTCCCACTAATTGACTAATGTTTCCTTAATGGTTGGGAATAGAATGCATTGTATAGCATTGCACTAAATAATGCAACGATTTTCAGATGTTATATATCCCCGTCAAACTGTCACTTCTTAAAAACTGTCCTATTGAGCAGAGTGAAACATGGTTATCCAATGATGTGATTAGGCCCCACACAGGCCGTGGCTGCTACCAACAGCAGGAAGACAAAACTGAAAACGTTCACATGAATCAGAGTATATAGTTCTAAAAAACAACCATCAGGCGACAGATGTGGAGGGATGGCCGTGAACTACACAGCAAGACAGACAAGAGGTAAAGTTAAAGTAGGTGTTTTTCATTTCGACAAAGCAGGAGCTGAAAAAAGGCCTGATTAGGTATATATATATTCGTAGCTGTTAGTACTAATGAGTATATGATACATTAATCTGTGTATATTTTACTTCCAGGTAACAATGGCACTGATCTTCATCATGGTGCTGGTCTGTGTGGCTGATTACACACTAGGTAAGAAAGACAAACGTTGATGTCCAAAATTTATTAATAGCATACAATGCTGTCTTGTGCCAAAAATGATGTGCAGGATATTTTTCTGCTAAACGTTTCTTTGGATATGTGGGGCTATGAAACAACATCAACCTATCTGTCCGTCCTGGCGACTGGTGTTAACTTTCGACATGTCTACTGAAACCAACGGGCGAATCTGGACATAGCAGTAGTTTCACTTGCCGACGCCTAGTTGGTCCGCATGGTCCGCATGTTGTTTGTACATCTGATATACCTTCCACATCCCGATTGTTGGTATCTCTGACATATGAGTGTACGACGTGGATGTCGAAGGTCACTCCGTGTGCACTATGCATACAACACTTTTGACAATGACCTTGACTTTTAAGGATTGGAATTTAAAAAGGATTTCCTATTCATTATGTGAATTTGTGGTCTGAACCTAGTTAGATTATGGGTCATTTCATGAAACATGCATACGGAAATATTAATTAACATTAATTTAATTTATGAAAGATAAAAGCTTTTTAAAATAAGTCTCTGAAAACTAAAATAACCGTATAATAGTTTGGTTGTCACGTTTGTGTACAATGTGCCGGTACATTTTGATGTCTTGTACCAAATCGAAAGTACAAAAAGAGGTTTCTAGGAGAAAATGTTTCTATTCTGAAACAAGCACGCAAAACAAGGTCGCGTCAATGTCATGAAATATCGTAATATTCAAATTTACAAATGGATTTTCTTGTCCATCACATGATTATCTGGTTCCATCACCGGCCGCCGTTGCATGGTAAGAGTACAGCTGAACGACTTCTTCGGGGCGCAATACTTAGTTTTGGCGTGGACCTCACGTGCTACCTAACCTGATCAATGTTTCTACATGTGGACTGACGTCCCCGACGTCTGTCATAATCCCAATGTCATGGAAACTCTTGCTTCTGGACACCGCAAATACCTACTGACGAGTTATATCTATTGCAGGACAAAATATGGAATCAGTTCCTAACATGTGAATGTTGCATGTCAAAGTCGGGTAAAATATCGTATCATTAACGTATTGTGGAGCTTGTTGACCATCCGCGTGATTGAGAACACATTTTCTATATGCTTTGAAACGGAAGTGCAAAATTTGTGAAACTTTTGAAGTTCAAAAGTAAGATGTTTTTCTTATGACATGCTTTGGTTAAAACTGTCTTGAACATTTTAATGTAAGAAAACACGATGCGAAAAAGGTCTAAGGTTTGTGTTCAGTGGCAAATCAAGTGTCATGAGCAGGGCAGGTTTAAATTTGAGGTAAGCGGATCCTGGCACGCCTACGTACCCTAACTCTGCACAGTGATCCGCATTAGGTAAACCACAATAAAGATTAGTATATACAATCAGTATGCAGTGAATAAGGGGTTTCACTATATTTGCTATCATTGTAATACTGGATATAATTCATGATATTTTGACATCAGCACAACTGGTATGATGATCCTTTAACATCATGTACTTTGTAATTGACAGGCGCGGACTGTACGGAGGGTCAGCATTGTTCCCAGTGCGACATGGAGGGCAATTGCTTACATGGTTGTGACAAGGGTTATTTTGGAATGAAATGCAAGTCGCAATGCAACAGCAAATGCAGATACAATACGTGTAAACTAGATCCGGGAACAGGTGCAGGCAAGTGTACTGATGGATGTGAGCCAGGATACCAAGGGAAAAGTTGTGACAGACCATATGACAGTCACGTGGTCAACTGTACACTGTGTCCAGGTGGGTGTGACGGGGAGTACTGTCAGCTAGGTGATGCTTGTTTTGCCGGATGTCGAGATTCCAGGTACGGATCAGGATGCAAGACGTGTCCCAGTAGCTGCAGAACCTGCAACAGGATGACAGGAGTATGTGACGAGTGTGACCCGACACATCATGGAGTCAACTGTGAGATGACGTGTGAGAACTGTGCAGGATCCTGTGAGGCTGGCTGTGAATGTGTTCCTGGCTTCTACGGTGACTTCTGTGCCGAGACTTGCAGTAAAACATGCCGCCCCAGGTCTCCCCACACGTGTCTTCCTGCTGTGACGTCAGACAGCTGTACAGGTGAATGTCACAAACACAGCGCCTCCATGGCTGTGTGGATGGCTGGTTCGGCCCGAGGTGTTCCTTTCCGTGTAATCCTGGATGTCGTCATCAAAGATGTAATGCAGCAGGTTGTTGTGCTGAAGGCTGTGAACTTCATCATTTCGGATCAGCCTGTGAACCTTGTCCTGAGAACTGTGCCAACCGAACATGTGACTCCAAAAACGGAACATGTGTGCATGGGTGTAGAGATGGGTTCTACGGTGAATACTGTAATTGAACATGTACACTGTGTTCTCATGGTGTTTGTGATCAGAACACTGGTGCTTGTGTCGAGGATTGCAGTGTCAGCGAAGAAGGAAGTGAGCTTAACTGTACACGGACCTGCCCCCAGCCAGGATGCTCTACGGGCTATAGTAACAGCGGTGAGTATTTTAAATCATATACATAATGGTCATCATTGATCAGGTCTCAGCTTCTATGGCAGTTATTCCCGTGCTGATTGCCACTTATCCGAATAATATGTTTTGTTTTGTTTCGTGTTCATGTAACAGCGATTCCCACGATAGTGTTTATATGGCAGCAACCATAGACCATTGTCCATGTAGCAGCTATCCACTGACTATTGACCATGTGGCAGCTATTCATAGACTATTGTCCATGTGGCAGTTGTCCATAGACTATTGTCCAAGTGGCAGTTATCCATAGAATATTGTCCATGTGGCAGCTACGCATAGACTATTGTCCAAGTGGCAGCTATCCAAAGACTATTGTCCATGTGGCAGTTGTCCATATACTATTGTCAAAGTGGCAGCCATATGTAGACTATTATCCATGTGGCAGCTATCAATAGAATATTGTCCATGTGCCAGCTGTCCATAGACTATTGTCAATGTGGCAGTTGTCCATAGACTATTGTCCAAGTGCCAGCTATCCAAAGACTATTGTCCATGTGGCAGCTGTCCATAGACTATTGTCCATGTGGCAGTTATCCATAGACTATTGTCCATGTGGCAGCTATCCATAGACTATTGTCCATGTGGCAGCTATCCATAGACTATTGTCCATGTGGCAGCTATCCATAGACTATTGTCCATGTGGCAGCTGTCCATCCTATAGACTATTGTCCATGTGGCAGCTATTGTCCATCCATAGACTATTGTCCATGTGGCAGTTGTCCATAGACTATTGTCCATGTGGCAGCTATCCATGGACTATTGTCCATGTGGCAGCTGTCACATGGACTATTGTCCATGTGGCAGCTATCCATAGACTATTGTCCATGTGGCAGCTATCCATAGACTATTGTATTATCCGACCGTTGTCAATGTGGCAGCTGTCCATAGACTATTGTCCATGTGGCAGCTTGTCCATAGACTATTGTCCATGTGGCAGCTATCCATAGACTATTGTCCATGTGGCAGCTATCCATAGACTATTGTCCATGTGGCAGCTATCCATAGACTATTGTCCATGTGGCAGCTATCCATAGAATATTGTCCATGTGGCAGCTATCCATAGACTATTGTCCATGTGGCAGCTATCCATAGACTATTGTCCATGTGGCAGTTGTCCATGACTATTGTCCATGTGGCAGCTATCCATAGACTATTGTCCATGTGGCAGCTATCCATAGACTATTGTCCATGTGGCAGCTATCCATAGACTATTTGTCCATTAATAGACTATTGTCCATGTGGCAGCTGTCCATAGACTATTGTCCATGTGGCAGTTGTCCATAGACTATTGTCCATGTGGCAGCTATCCATAGACTATTGTCCATGTGGCAGCTATCCATAGAATATTGTCCATGTGGCAGCTATCCATAGACTATTGTCCATGTGGCAGCTATTAATAGACTATTGTCCATGTGGCAGCTATCCATAGACTATTGTCCATGTGGCAGCTATCCATAGACTATTGTCCATGTGGCAGCTATCCACAGACTATTGTCCATGTGGCAGCCATATATTGACCATTGGCCATAGACTATGTGGCAGCTATCCATAGACTATTGTCCATGTGGCAGCTATCCATAGACTATTGTCCATGTGGCAGCTATCCATAGACTATTGTCCATGTGGCAGCTATCCATAGACTATTGTCCATGTGGCAGCTATCCATAGACTATTGTCCATGTGGCAGTTGTCCATAGACTATTGTCCATGTGGCAGCTATCCATAGACTATTGTCCATGTGGCAGCTATCCATAGACTATTGTCCATGTGGCAGCTATCCATAGACTATTGTCCATGTGGTCAGTTGTCCATAGACTATTGTCCATGTGGCTTGCTATCCCAGCTTGTCCATTGTTGTCCATGTGGCAGCTATCCATAGACTATTGTCCATGTGGCAGCTGTCCATAGACTATTGTCCATGTGGCATCTATCCATGAGACTATTGTCCATGTGGCAGTTGTCCATAGAATATTGTCCATGTGGCAGCTATCCATAGACTATTGTCCATGTGGCAGACTATTGTCCATTGGCATAGACTATTGTCCATGTGGCAGCTATCCATAGACTATTGTCCATGTGGCAGCTATCCATAGACTATTGTCCATGTGGCAGCTATCCATAGACTATTGTCCATGTGGCAGCTATCCATAGACTATTGTCCATGTGGCAGCTATCCATAGACTATTGTCCATGTGGCAGCTATCCATAGACTATTGTCCATGTATTGGTGGCAGCTGTCCATAGACTATTGTCCATGTGGCAGCTATCCATAGACTATTGTCCATGTGGCATCCATGACTATTGTCCATGTGGCAGCTATCCATAGACTATTGTCCATGTGGCAGCTATCCATAGACTATTGTCCATGTGGCAGCTGTCCATAGACTATTGTCCATGTGGCAGCTATCCATAGATGTGGAATATTGTCCATGTGGCAGTTGTCCATGTGGGACTATTGTCCATGTGGCAGCTGTCCATAGACTATTGTCCATGTGGCAGGCTATCCATAGACTATTGTCCATGTGGCAGCTATCCATAGACTATTGTCCATGTGGCAGCTATCCATAGACTATTGTCCATGTGGCAGCTATCCATAGACTATTGTCCATGTGGCAGCTATCCATATAGACTATTGTCCATGTGGCAGCTATCCATAGACTATTGTCCATGTGGCAGCTATCCATAGACTATTGTCCATGTGGCAGCTATCCATAGACTATTGTCCATGTGGCAGCTATCCCATAGACTATTGTCCATGTGGCAGCTATCCATAGACTATTGTCCATGTGGCATATCCATAGACTATTGTCCATGTGGCAGCTATCCATAGACTATTGTCCATGGGCAGCTATCCATAGACTATTGTCCATGCTATCCATAGACTATTGTCCATGTGGCAGCTATCCATAGACTGTCCATGTGGCAGCTATCCATAGACTATTGTCCATGTGGCAGCTTTCCATAGACTATTGTCCATGTGGCAGCTATCCATAGACTATTGTCCATGTGGCAGCTATCCATAGACTATTGTCCATGTGGCAGCTATCCATAGACTATTGTCCAAATGGCAACTATCCATAGACTATTGTCCATGTGGCAGCTATCCATAGACTATTGTCCATGTGGCAGCTATCCATAGACTATTGTCCATGTGGCAGCTATCCATAGACTATTGTCCATGTGGCAGCTATCCATAGACTATTGTCCATGTGGCAGTTGTCCATATATATTGTCCATGTGGCAGCTGTCCATAGACTATTGTCAATATTTGTCCAAGTGGCAGCTATCCATAGACTATTGTCCATGTGGCAGCTATCCATAGACTATTATCCATGTGGCAGCTATCCATAGACTATTGTCCATGTGGCAGCTGTCCATAGACTATTGTCCATGTGGCAGTTGTCCATAGACTATTGTCCATGTGGCAGCTATCCATATATCACTATTGTCCATGTGGCAGCTATCCATAGACTATTGTCCATGTGGCAGCTATCCATAGACTATTGTCCATGTGGCAGTTGTCCATATACTATTGTCCATGTGGCAGCTATCCATAAAATATTGTCCATGTGGCACCTATCCATAGACTATTATCCATGTGGTAGCTATCCATAGACTATTGTCCATGTGGCAGTTATCCATAGACTATTGTCCATGTGGCAGCTATCCATAGACTATTGTCCATGTGGCAGCTATCCATAGACTATTGTCCATGTGGCAGCTATCCATAGACTATTGTCCATGTGGCAGCTATCCATAGTAGACTATTGTCCATGTGGCAGCTATCCATAGACTATTGTCCATGTGACTATTGTCATGGCTCATATCATAGACTATTGTCCATGTGGGAGCTATGGATAGACTATTTTCCATGTGGCAGCTGTTCTTAGGATATTATCCATGTGGCAGCTATTAGTAGACTATTGTCCATGTGGCACCTATCCATAGACTATTGTCCATGTGGCAGATATTAGAAGACTAATGTCATGTGGCAGTTGTCCATAGAATATTGTTCATGTGACATTTACCCCAAGACTATTGTCCATGCGACAGTAATCCCAAGACTACGGTTCAGTGATATTTACCCAAAGACTAGTGTTCATCTGGCAGTTACCCAAAGACTAGTGTTCATGTGGCAGTTACCCAAAGACTAGTGTCCATGTGACAGTTATCCCCAAACTCCCTTTCAGTGACAGTTACCCAAAGACTATACCCCAAGCCCAATGTTCATGTGGTAGTTGCTTCCAGAGTAGTTCCCTTGTATCACTTCTTCCAAGATCTATGTCCATTTGTATGTTTGTTTGCCAGCTCGTCCTCATATCAGCACAACTACACTGGCGATCATTGTGAGTGCTGTCCTTTTCCTCCTGGTTGCAAGTCCTGTTTGCTGTTTCTGTTTCCGCAAACACGCATGTGCACAAAGGTCAGTACAGACGGATTCTATTTAAAAGTCCCTGTGAGTCAGGTTGAGTCATGGGCGATAAATACACTCACGGGGTGCTTTGTGTTTTGCACGAATTTACGGAGAAACAGTGAGAGCAATTTGACACATAGCTAGTGTATTTTAGTCACCATAAATACAGAAAGATGATATTAGGCTGACATATTATCAAGTCGGCGAGCCTGACCACCCGATCCCGTTAGTCGCCTCACGACAAGCATGGGTTACTGAAGACCAAATCTAACAAGGAAAGAACATGACAAGAACATGTTGGATCCTGTAAATAGGATTGCCTGAGACCGGCCACAGTTTCCGGACAGATTAGTTTCAAGAACTTTTATTGATGCATTGATAACATTGAACCTACATTGAACATCATTAGCAAACAATTCAAAACAGTTTCATTGACGCTATGACGCGTCATTTAGCATTTATACAAGGTATTAAACAAAAGGCACAAAAGACACGTTTTCGCTACATCTGTTTCTAATACATTTTGTTTTATCTCTTGAATTCAAACAGGTCAGCCGGTACACACAACAGTGTATTAGAGCAGGCAGACCCCAATTACATGGACTACCAAGAAGTTCAGAAGTATTGGGAAATCAGAGAAGATGAAGCAGAACTGGGCGACGGGATACGGAATCAGAACAACGAAAGCACAAGCGATGTCAGTGATGACGCACTGCCTGCGTTAGCAGATTACTTTCCGGGAGCTGTCAACGTAGTGGCTGAAGATGACGACGTTGTAGCTGGACATGACGGCATTCAAGGTGGAGTTGGTGACGTTGAGGCTGAAGGTGGTGACATTGAAGCCGACGATGATGTTCCAGATGGTACAACAGGCAGTTCAGTCTCCGATGACCACTCCTACACACACCTGACGATGGACGTCCCTGTTGCTGGTCCGAGAACAGTCGCCTTATATATATCTCCACTCGAGGACTGATATTTTATATCTATTTCGATTCAATTTATACCAATGCTAGAAGCAGAGGATGATGACTTTGAAGCAGAGGATGGTGACTTTGAAGCAAAAGATGGTGACTTTGAAGCAGAGTATGATGACTTTGTAGCAGAGGATGGTGACTTTGAAGGAGAAGACGGTGACACCGAAGCAGAGAATGGTGACACCGAAACAGAAGATGGTGACACAGAAGCAACAGGTGGTGACATTAAGCAGCGGGTCGAACATGTGTCACAGACAACCACACATACTCACACGTCATGAGGAAGACCTTCATTGCTGAGACCACACATTGTATGTGACGACACATTGTATATTAGTATATATTGTTTAGATACAATGTATATTCTTTCAACATCACTTATAAATTCTCTAAGGTTCAGCAGTGAAGAGCTAAACTTCCAACACTGTCCTAATTGCTAGTCGTCTGGAAAATATGACGAAATGTTGAAGGAGATTTACTCCTTAATAAATTAAGTTTACTATATCTGTGTTGCTTAACGCTGCATGCAACTATATTGCAGCTAAAGGAATTAAAACTGTAAATATCACGTTTGGACCTGACAAGCTAGTGATTGTTAGTATGCCCAACATCCCAAGTGGACTGCATGTTTGTTGTTCAAGTCGGCACTCAACTACATTGCAACTAACTATCTGTTCTTGCCCAACATTCCACGGGGCTTTATTCAGATTTCTGTAATTAAACGAGATTTTAAATTCTTTAAGATGCAATTGTTTCAAGATGAAAAAATATGTGTAAGGTGGCACAGCCCGCCGCTCTGGAACATACAATGAAGGACACATGATCGATTTTCAAATTTTTATAATAACATTGCTGTGTATTATCGTTATGTCGAATCGATTCATAATCTTGTTTTCATTTGGTACAGAATAACGGGATATTGTATACAAAATAGTAAATATTATATAAATTGTGACAGCCATTTTGTATTACGGGAATTACGGAAAAGTGAATCCGTCTACATACATGCTGAACAAATATTGAACCAAACCAGAAAAGTAGATAAATGGAAAATATTCTGGTCCATGATAAAAAAACACTGTTTTCAAAATGAGTTGTTAAAAATATGCAATACAAAATTGATTTGAGACTTGGGTGTTACAATATATTTGTGAATGTAGACTTCAGTGTTAAGGCTTCATTATTGTTGTTTGTTTGTTGTTTACCAATCCCTGAAATGCATGACGTGTAGAGAAACAGATGGTGCGTCTTGCCTCCTGGTTACATAACACCAAATATTTTCCCATTGACTTCTACAGTAACGTTATATTTTTTTTCAAATTAACAAAGATATCAACAGCTATTACATGAACATGTATGCATAGTCTTGCCTTAAAGAGCAATACAAATATTTGAAAAAATGACTGTCTCCGTCAGATCCCCAGTTCCGCACAAAATGTCAACGCTTGAAAATACATGTGGTCACATTCGACAAAAGTCATAATTTAAAACAGACAGCACAAAATATTTAAAACATGGTCAATTTTAATTACTGAATGGATGTACTTTTTTTATAAACTCTAAACCTTACACAAGTTCACCCAATCGCAGCTCTTAGATGATTCAATCTGCACTAAAACGTACTTGTGAAACCATGGATTCCGATTTGGTGTAAACTTGACAACTAAAAAAAATTAAAGACAGATACTTTAACCTAAATGTAACCAAGCCAAATGAAATCCTGAAAACCTCAAGAACACGAATCTGTGTTACGACTGCAGGTTTTGGCTCGGGTGTTTTGAGAAAGTGCGTTTTGAGTTGATGTAAGCAGACAGACGTACGTAATCCAATGTAGTAGTCCCCGATACATCTAAAAAAACACCGCTAATATACCCATTATGCAGTTCTGGAAAAATCCAGCAAAAACAGGCCTGAAGACAATGATCAAATCGTTTTTCGATCCTTCGCCGGAGGCAAAACATCAACAAGCATCAAGAAAGAGGAGGTAATTCTATCTCTCAGCTTACTCTCAACCGGTGAAATTACATAATCCAAGTTCAATACAAGTACGACACGTTGAAATCAAACTCAGCGCTTTAAACGTTTGTGACCAATTATAACTAAAAGTTAATTAATGTGACATTATAATTAACAAAACATCACCAAAACAGCATTCTCTAATCATACTCTATAATATATCACGTCATCTTGTAATAAGATCATTTGGGCCATGTTAAAACAAAATTAAATGTTTTAAGTGCCCAGTGATTACATACTTATCTCTAAAACAGTTTATCAATGAAACGATGGACGGGAGCTTTCAATACCACTGAAAGCTCTTCACAGATACACAATGCTGACTTTGTGTGCTGGCGATTAGGTGCCTGACTCTGAGGGTGTGGGTTCGAGTCCCGGATGGAACTCAACCCAAAGAGGTACTAGAATTTGTACTTTACTAAGAAAGTGTAATCCCAAATATAGCATATGTTACATTTGGCCACTTTCTAAAATGGCATTGTGCAATCGGTGTTCGGTCATGGGAGCCGTGCCAATTTACACTTATCTGAGGGGGTACACAAAGTCCGCAGTCTGGACTACCAGTTGTCCGACTTCCATTTTTGTTGAAGTCGCGGTGGCTGAGCGGGTTAGGCGGGTTTGTGTGCTGGCGATTAGGTTCATGACTCTGAAGGTGTGGGTTCGAATCCCGGATGGGACTCAACCCTACAAAAATACTAGATTTTGTACTTTACTAAGAAAGTGTAATCCTAAATATAACATATGTTTCCTCACAGATAGTTGGTCAGACTGAAACGCAATTACAAAAGGGACCACTATACAAGCTGGATACTGGCTATTGATCTAATTAGCCAGGGCCAAGTCAGACTGAACACTAAGCTTTACTTACCGTACAACGCGTGAGATTAATCCCTACGCTTTTTGAGACTCTGTAAAGTGGTATTCAGGTAGATATAGTACTATTCTAAAGATATTAACACAATTGAAGATAGAAGCCCTGGCCAAGAAGGAGGGAACACCAGTGATAAAGACTATGCTGGGAATGTGGAAAGAGAGCTTCACTTTGAGAAACATGTTTGCTTAAAATACTTCACTTTGAGACACTTTACAGTGATATTAGGTGCTTGTATACTTTATTCTATAGGTATAAACACAATTCAAGATTCAGATGTGAGGTTTAGATCCTTTGTGACAACCCGGACCGAACAGAGACAAACACCTTTGATTGGAGCTATGTTGGCAATGACAGAGAAAAGGGCTTCACTTTAAAGGACAAGTTATCTTTACAAGTGGTGTATTATGACGTTACAAAGTCGTATTTAGGTTGATATAATACTAGTCAATGGCTCTAAATGCAATTTAGTCTGCATATGTGATGTTTAAGGTGCTTTTGACAGCCCGGACCAAGTCGGACCGAAGACTTGTGCTAAAGAGTCTACAGAGAGTGTGGAAAGAGCTTCTCTTTGAAAAGGGTGTTTTTTACAATACAGCGCTTTGTTATAGGAACATATAATCTTAGTGTATGGACCCAAACAATTCAACATACGTCTGAATGGTTTAAAATGTTTTTGAAAGCCCGAGCCCGTCCAGACCGAACAGAGGTTATACACTTTTGATCGAGGCTATGTTGTGAATGTAGAACAGGTCTTCATTTCAAGGGCAAAATTGCCTTACATTATAACATTACACCTATACTACAGACTAGTAATTCAAGAAAACGTATCACGTAATTAAACGCTTGTTTAGACTAGTTCACTTCCACGTCATCGTTGTTGTTTTTCTGTGTAGTCGTAGGACCACACGGTATACTTTTTTATAAATGAAACAGTCATATTACAACTTGAAACATAAAGAAGACGATATCCGTTTGATATGGTAACAGTAAAAATGATTGAAATGTGTGCGGCGGTGCTAATTGTCACACCTTCGTTGTATTTTAACCTAATCAAGACATTAATTTAGAGGAAAGGGCAATTTTGTGGGCCCATTTTATTCGAACCAAAACTGGCGACATATTATTACAGAATCACAGTTGAATTACATTAAAATAAGTTGATTTGTGTCATGAAATGCATGAATTCTTAAACATGTATTTGTAATATAACTAAACATCAGCTTTGAGAGGCTGAAAATATTCTAATAACGCTAAAAATTAGCCGAATTATGTCAAAATGAGTTAAATTTTGTGTCATACTTTCATTCATTTACAACCTCCGAAACATAAATTTGAGCAAAAATAAATATTTTCGCCCACGGGCAATGTAGTTTAAATTTCAAGCTTTTGAAAAGACGTATTTTTTTAATCTTAGCTTATATTCATCATAACTGCATGTTGAATTTTGTCAAATTCTTGGTCGGACACTGGCCACAGTGCGACAGCATCTGGACTTTTGAGGTTCCATAATTATATTGTGACATGTTTTACTGATTCGACACCTTTATTGGGCATAGTTTCATACAGATGGAATATTGCTGGGCGTGTTCATAAATCATTATAGGAAAATCTTTATTTTATGTAGGTTATAGTGTTTGCCATTTGACTAAAGACATGCCCCGCATTAAAGTTCTTTGTTATAATATTTGGAGATGACGGTTTTGAAGTATGTGCCTTATACTTATTTGAATTAAAATTACTGCATTGTCGGTTTGTTGGAATTAAACTGTTTTATGTCCTAAGTGCATTGTGACGTATACAAGTGGTCAATTATGAGAGATATCTGGCACAGACCCGTTAATGATTTCTCCAAGATTTATAGCTGTAAAGACAGGGAGACGTATTCGACTGGCCAGCATGTAGGCTATACTTTATCATGGTTCAGTGACTCACGACGGTGAGCGAGTGAGTACTATACCTTGAAACATTTGCTTTTCTACCTGTTAACATTTCCTTCACGGCAGTGAAAGTTTAACGCTGATTGTGTTTATTGTTTGTGTGTCACAATAACCTCTGCTTTGAGTATAGATGACTCAGTACCGAGTATTATGTCGTAACAATGAACGTTATGTCCTGATCCAAACATTGAGGCCCTCTGTCCCACTGGTATCACGTGCTCATGACCATTTGATCACACGCCAGGAATATAGCTGTGTGCGGCGTTACACAACAGACCAAATCAAACCAATAGTTCTGGCATTCTAGACTAGTTTGGCATTCAACTTGGAATAAGATTTGTAACAGAAATGTTTTCACCACAGTCCATTCCCATGAGGTCCCCAGAACACCATACAGGAATCCCAGAATGGAAATTAAAATCGCATGATCCAAACTGATCGCCAAATACCACTAACATATGATGTCTTTGTTCTCAGAAGAGACATTGAAATGATTTCATGTTTGAAACTGGGTTTTTTGGCATCAAGGGGCATAAATATTGCTCAAAATTACATAACCATGAATTCGGGGCTGACTGGGGAAACATTTGGAACATAGTGTCGTTGTCAGTAATGGTCTCAACATTTTATGTACGCTTCGTTCACCTTTGTCAGCTATAATACGAAAAACATCACGTCACGATAAAGAGCGAAAGATAAGACACATTTACATCAGTGCGTTGAGACACTAATGTTACTGGTTTATTTGAACCAGGAAGGGAACTGCATTACCATATCTGTATTCACTATACCACATCTGACTGCGTCCACTCCGGCATTCTTGTCACGTCTACCTCAAGTTGTCTCCCCTGTTTCACAATACAGAAAGTAGGAATTCACGGCAGATGGGTGTTCACGACATGTCAATACGAGGAGAGTAATTATACACAGCAGACTTCGTTTTGTGAGTTAGTTTTGGTTTTACCTTTTATTAAGTATATTTATATATCCTTGATATATATCGTTTAACGTTGTAGACACCCCGTGGGGTTTCCACGGCTGAAATGATCAGTAAAGTAGTCGTATATGAACGCGTCAATATCCGTCAACCAAAACCGAAACCGGTTTAGCTCCCGTTCGCCTGATTACGAGTGAAACTGTACACCGCGGAATATTCGTCATGGCGCGTGCTCGTTTCTAATGTAACACAATCGGATAATAGGCGCCCGACTCTGATATATTTATAAGTATGACCTATATGTATAAGATAAGAAAGGTGTGTCAGTAAATCGGAACAAAATGGCGGCCCGGCTCAGCTCGGCTCTGTTTCGGTCTGACAAACGCTCCCATCGCTTTGACCGTTGAATGAACTGCACAATTTATACTCAGTTGGCCTTTGTAGAGTACCTTATCACAAACCTGGTGATTTTATTCCCATTTAAAGCTTTCAAAGGGGTCCATACTCGCACGAAGTCAGGACATATACCCGGAAGTTAACAAATCTCAGGCTACAGACCCGCACCAAATAGTGGAGCGAGTGGGGTCACTTACTTAGGAAATGTTCTATGTCGCTGTTTTCATGTATTTTACGTTATGGACTAAAAGTCAGTTGAAATTCAATTCTAACTTGCAAAGAGCATCTGTATTATCGCATAGTTAGTTTATTTAATTGTGGAATAAAAGAAAAACGAAACGTTTCATATCATATGGTGTTTTTACATACTTGAATTTAACAACTTTCTATTTAGATATAACCGTATGGTTAAGGATGTATTTTACGTTATGGCATTTTTGTCAAAATGGAGAAAATAAACACACGTAAAATCATACTATGGGTTGGTTATACTTAGGTGCTAACGATGCCAGCAAATGGAGAAATCTGCAAAGTCATGCCAAATATATCAGTTGACTTCCAGTGAACATCGTCATAGTATAATACGTTATGTTTATTACGCTATATATTGATTTGTAAGCTTAAATCCGGGGAGATAAACTGTCAAATGTAGGTTGCAACATCATAGGTGGGTTAGCGCCAATACGTTAGTACGATACGATACTCATGTGATGATCGATGGTATAACGTAATATGAAGCTGTGAATTTGAGGAAATATTTAAAGCTGTGTAAACGTTACATTTGCAATTTGCCGTTACCGACAATGAGTGTTATCGGTTAGAAGTTACTTAGGTGTAGTTTATGTTAAAATATAGTCGCGTGTAAGGCCAAATATTTCTTCGGCGAACATATGGTCGATTCCAACGAAAAGTGTACACAGCTAGGTACAAGGGGTCCAAAATAGAATTGCTTGCGCCTTGTAATTCTTTTTACCAATGTAAAGTCAACATGTTTTCCTCTTATGAAAATCAGTTGCCATCACTAATCTCTAAAAGTGATAAGTTGGTGGATCAGTGAATTTGAAGGTTCATTTTCAGAATTACCTACAAATACCAACATCATACCTTGTATATCCTGTGATTAGATGGATTGTATGTTGCCAGTAGTATATAAGTAATCAGTTTCGGACATCAAAGCATTCCTAAGGAGAACAATAGCATTCCTAAGGAGAACAATAGCATTCCAGGTGAGAACAATATCGTTTTTTAAGGAGTTCCTACATACCAAAGGAGTTTTCAGGAGCACATTCCATAAATTCCAGCGAGAACAATAGCATTTTTCAAGGAGCGCTCCTACATACTCAAGGAGCTTTCAGGAGCACATTCCATAAATTCCAGGAGCTGTCTTTTGAACCTATTCCATGACATCATTATATAATGAGATTACTCATGCTGATTGGAATGTGTATTGAAATGTTATGAATAGGAACCAAACAAATTTGATATATTGAAATCATTGCTATTAAATTTGAAATGGGTGGAATGTTGCTCATGTCTATAAATTCATAGCTGATTCTAACCGCTTTCAATAAGTGCTTGGTACCATAAGTAATATGTTCATTAAGTAGTACATCTTATTTCTTAACACTTGTAAGCTAGTCTATCGTACAGACCCTGAAGCAAATATATCCAAGAAAGCCCACGCAAGTCTAGAAAATGTGGTAAGTCTAGATTTCCTCAGCTTCTGAAAATGAAGAAAGTCTCAGGGCTCCTTTTCATTATATTATATATTTTTTTTTACTATGAACTTTTTTCAGTAAAATATGTTCATTTCAGAGACTAGTTGTTAGTCTAACTTGTAAGCATGTGTAAGACTTGGGTAATTGCGATGGTTGCGTAACAATTACGTCTCACGGTAAAAGGGATGGGCAAGTGTGTCTATTGCGCGAAGTGCTCCAGTCAAAGATGACACAACACAAAAAGACAGTAATAATGTGTATTAAAATAAAAGTCTTGGTAACAGAGTTGCAAGTTCCGACTGCACAGTCCAGGTGAAACCTAAAAAACAAGTTGGCTTGTTGTCACCTCGACAGTGCAGGCAGAAAGAGCCATTGTGCAGATACAATAATGAAATAAATAATAATCCGACTGATATATAGGATGTGATGACAATACTTATTAGGGGAAACAATATTATTAGAGAATATATAAACACAATATTGGAACAAAAGTATATGTGCATATATGAGCACACAACCCCAAAGAGTATTTACATAAATAACTTTAATTATATAACCCAAAAGAATCGTCACACCCCTCCTATCAGAGGATTTACATGGGGCCCCACCTGAGGTGAGGTGAAAGTCACAATAACTTTAATGGCCAATGGGAAGTATAAAAATACATATATATATATACACAAAGTGGGGAAAAATTTATACCCAACACATTTGGAATATATGAAAACCGGTTATAATTGATATACACAATAGCCACGACGGGACACCTGGCCTGTACGACACATGCGGCTAAGGGAAATGGGGTATGACTACCTGTTGGATGATCATACTTGTCAATATGAGGCTAGCTCCAACAGAATGTCAATACACCCAGTAGGTACACCACTTGGGGCTACCCAGGATAAACACCTAATTGTAGTAAGTAAATTGACAATATGTAATAAACGGATATTACATAATTTATATTACTACGATATGTAGGTATATTAATGGCCATATAATATAATACATTATATTATTATTGAATAAACTGTGACTTCACTTTCACATCAAGTGGGGAAACATACTAAAATATGATTGGTATAACAACATGTAGAAATATTACGTTTGATGATACGCGTAACGCCAGACGCGAAGAGAACGAGAAAATAATCTTGTTCAGAAAATAAACAATATTCAAATGCTGAATATGCTATTACCCATCAGTAGTACTTTACAGATATACTTGATAAAGTGACATGAGATGATGGTAGGCTATTGCTATGTTAGAATAAACATGAAGCAGACGACGGACCCTAGGTTTGTTTACATCCGGTGCAGCCATTTTGTAATGGAGCCGGACGGGAGCCGGAGAATGCCGAGGAGAGCCGAAGACAGCCCAGGCTGTGTGCTGCTCAGTGGAGAGGTCAGCACTGGTCAGTGAGCATGACCGTCACTAATTGGTTCCAGCTGATACCGTGATACTCTAACTGAGCACATGGTTTGGAAACCGGGACAGTGATACAGACACTTTTTAAATTTAGAATAAAATGGCAAAAGAGTTCTGTTGTTAGCAGCAACAAGTTGTAAATAAATGGAATTTTGAATTTAGCAATGAGCTAGAGACAATTTTGACTGGCAGGTCAAATAAGCAAATTAATGCTAAACACACAAAATATTTTACTAAAATGAATTTTTAGATGAAAATATATTACAATGAGTACATGTCATTTATTCTTGCCATCGAGTGCACGTTTGGACAGTCACAGATGAGTGACCTTTCGCCAGTTTGGCACAGCAAGAATAATTGATGACAGTGACCCAACACTTGTTTTAATTGTGATTTATCAAATTAAATAGTACACTAATTTAAAAGCCGCAGATAATTACTTATCCTGCTAACAACATAACTATGCATTGGAATTTAGTACAGAAGACCTAGTTGCAATATGGAAGCAAACTGAGGTTCTTACCTAAAAAACAAGTTGGCTTGTTGTCACCTCGACAGTGCAGGCAGAAAGAGGAAGATTTCAGGCTTGGGGTCCCACGCCCTCTTGCCCCTGTCATGTGACAACATAGCCCCTGGGGATTGGCTAAAAAACTGTTGCTATGGAAACCATGGCACCAGTGCCTTGAGCCCCAGAACCCTATCAGATAACTGGTAAAGGGCAGGATATTGGGTTACTTGTGCAAGAGACTAGGACAAAATATCCAGCCTTTACACTCTCCCCCCCTTTAAGGAAATTTTGTAACCCGGTTTGAAATCGGTAAATACAAATACATGATTAAACAATGCTTCGGGTGAACAATCATTCATAACCCTCTTGTATCACACATGTATGACCTGACAATACTTCTTCATAAATGGATCCCAGGAAAAGAACCTAGTCATGCGTCGCTGGCGCTGGGATCTACGACATAACACTCTCTTCACAGGGGAGAGACTGGAGTGGTTCCTCCGCAGCAACTGGATCACTTATAGCAGAGTCCACAGAGTTCTCAGATAGGTCTGGCTCACCACCAGATGATTCTACCGGATCACAAGGAGTGATGAGCGATGTATCCTCATTGCCCGGATCTTCAGGCAGCCTATCTTCTCCCTGATGTAGTTCTCCTGAGTCCCCACTCTCCACGGGTTCTGATGGAGCATCTTCAGCTCCCACTGCACCCGTTTCCCAGGTGAGGGGTCCTGCAGTGGTTGCCTCATTCTGCATACCGGGAACCACTTGGATAGCGGGGACTTCCTCTACAGTAGGTCGTGTGTATGGCAGCGCCTGTTCTTGTGGTTCAAAGGGTTGAGCCTCAGGGTTCAAGCTGCTAGTGGGTACAGCTCTAATAGGTTCAGGCTGTGGGTACCATACATCGACAGCATGGAGTTCATCTTCGGAGGATTCTAAGATGTCTTCCGGTTGT